CAGTCGATCCCGATTGACCTAAAGAAGAAAGAGCGGACTTCAACTGACACAAGCGAGGGGGCGCTCTGCCCAAATTGAAAGGACCCTTCAACCGGTTCTATCTCGAGTCCGGGGGGGACGTTGCTGTCAACAATAAGGATGGTCTGTAATGCAGGGACGCCGTGCACGTGTCTCAACGTGGAAGGGCGACTCTGAGGTCCTTCCAGCGGGCGGATTGTTGGCTGAGAAGGAGCATCAACGGTCGGAAAAGGTGGACGAACGGCGACAAATCTTCGTAATGTCGAGATTCTAACCGAATCGAGAGCGGGAGTGAGCCCGATCGCACAAGTCACTCTTCCGTTATCTGTGTCTGCCAATTAACGATGTCGGGGTTGAGGTAGAGGTTAAGTCTCGTCCAAAGTCGAGGTGTCGACCAAGCGATGTTGCGCCATCTCTTGCGAACGGTCCCAAAAATGAGGGGAGGGCGAGTAACGTGGGGGAACGCACTGAAGAAGGGATAGTATGGCTGGCGTTCCTCCTCTGCGAACATGCACAAAGTGAAAATACGCGATACGAGCTCAGGAGGAAGCTTGTTCAATGGGTCGTGAAACAGGTTCATCTCGGTCTTGAGAATTTGTCGTTCGTCGAGGAGGCGTATAAGCAGCGCTTTGGTTTCGTCAATCCTTGAGAACAGATGCTTCATCTTTCGGCATGGCTCGCATGGAGGGCTGGTGGAGTCTGGTGGACACTGCGGCTGGACGTCGTCGGGACTCCTGCAAAGAGCGCAGTCATTCATCTAGGAACACCCAGATCAGTTTTTCATGAAAGAATTAACCAGAAGAGGATCAATACCCTTCTGTGACTGGTGAAGGTAAGGATGTAAGTCGGTGGCACGACAACGGTAGCGAAAGTCTGACTTTCAAATTATCAGATAAGATGTGTTTGCACAGCATTTGTTCTGATTGCCTCGGTTCTGCCGAAAACATGACCTGGCAAACTCACCTGTTGTTCCTTGCCTCCAACGCGTCAGCGCTTCGGCGTCGACAGAAATCTCTACTGCTCCATCCACCTCTCATCAATTCGCCTAGGACATCTACCATGACCTTTCCTGGTCATAGTTTCTGGCTTTGAGTTGCCAGTTCATCATCGCCAGCCTTATTTCAATATCTATCACCCCATCATCGTCTCCGGCATAAGCTTCCTTCAACATGGCATTCTTGCACCTCCTGGTGACCTCGCTCTCGAATGATCTTGCCTTAGCTTCACCGTCTCCTCGCGACACCATCGATCACATCCCTGACATTCGTTCCCTGTCGAGCATCATCTACAGCTGCATCTTCACCGTCGCTGGGTGTCTATGGATCAGCGTCCGACCAAACATACCCTCTCCCAATCATTCAAGACTTCGTATCCTTCGTTCCAAGCTCAATATAATGTTTTGGGTCCTCGCCTCTCCGGATTTCGTTGTGTTTTGGGCATTCAGGCAGTGGTTGGAGGCGAGCATCCTAGCGAAGAAATATCGAGGTGCGGCAGCCTCTTTTTGTGGATATCGTATTTCGCTGATGTTGGATTCTAGATAGAGGATGGACGAGAACCCACGGCCAGTTCGTGATCATAGGCGGATTCATGCTGTACAGCGAAGGACGCCCGCTTCAGACGCTCTCCGTGCAGAAATTCAACGCCCTGCTCAGCGAAGGGGCTATAGAATTCCCCAGCATCACCGAGAGCGAGATCCGTGCCCGTGGCCAGCAAAGTCCCATCCTCACTACCATCGTCGGCCTGCAGGCGTTGTGGTTCGTCATCCAATGCAGTGCACGGTTCAGCAGCCACCTCTACGTTACGCACCTCGAGCTGCTCACACTCGCGCTCGTCGTCATCACGGCTCTCCTTTATGTCGTATGGTGGGACAGACCCCTGGACGTGGGGCATGCCGTGCGTGTGGACCTCAAGTACGATTACCCGGGGCTGGCGGAGCTTGGGGAGGAGAGGACGGAGAGATACGATTTTATCAGAGAGAAGCGGATTCGTGGGCAGGCGAGGAAGCTTCTCGCCCCAGAGCCTCCAGCGGTCAAGCGCTCGCGGTCGTACCTATCAATGGCGTTTAGCCTGTTGTTTAGGGTGTTTATCGGCTGGCCGTTCCTCAGCATCATAGAAGACGTCGGCGCCCTCGTTTTCAGCGTCGATTCTGCCAGCATACCCGAAGGTTCATTGCATCCACCTCTATTTTACTGCCCCGAAACCTCTGTCATCCCATACCACGTTCTTCTCCCTATCACCAGCCTTCTCGGGTGTGCATTCAACGGCGTCAACATTATCCTTTTCTCCTCAACCTTCCCCTCGTCAGGCGCAGAACTTGCCTGGAAGATTGGCACCCTCGTTACAACAGGTTTCTCGGGTCTGTCAGTGGCCATCTACATCGCCCTCCTTTTCAATCAGATCATCCTGGTGCGCTTCTCGGCGCGATTTCTCGAGATTTGGTCGAATGTCTTGTTGACCTTGACCTTGATCGTCCTGTGTTGTGGATTCTTGGCATTCCTTCCGGCAAGGATCACCCTCATTGTCGATGCATTCGTGTGTTTGGGATCGCTGCCGGAGACAGCGTTTGACGTTGTGTCATGGACGACGTATATTCCGCATTTCTCGTAGTTGCAAGTACGTTCCGCCTCCGTTTATGCTTTCGTGTCAGTTTTGGTGACCTAGATTTAGGAGTTGCCGTGTACCATAATGTGTAACTACAAGTATCCTGGAACTTTCGAACAACGGTTTGAATGAATAAGTAGTACGAGCCCTCGTCCCCTTTTTTGTCAAACCCGCCATGCGCCGCCTTTCCCAATCCGGTTTACATCAGGGACCTATCATCGGCGACCGCCGTGCGCTGAGCTGCGTATTGAAATCTTTTTTTCTCCACAACCATCACCATGGGCCCTATCTGCATCGACAGCTGCAACTGCCTCGCCTTCGTTGGGGATTACTGTCCGCCAGGCGAGCACGTCTGCGCGTGGGTTGACGCTCAGAACCGGCTCCCGTCGATGACTGCGGCAGAGGCGATCCTCACAGCCGGCCTTGAACACCCCAACTCAGCCTTCCTCGGGCTCATCTCCAAATTTGCATTCGACGACCCGGCCTATCGAAAGGCGGGGGTTTCATCGATGCTCCTGCGTCATATCCTGTGTGGGAGACGCGCTACAAGGACCGAGACGCGTCCGCACTGGGATTGTGCAGTACTCGGTATCAGCAACGTTCTCCATTCAATCTTGTGCCAGTGCCAGGCGCCGAAAACCTGTCTGGAAGATAAGACGATCCTGCAAGAACTCCGAGCGTCGTACAGTGCGATCCTTGATGTTATCTGGAGGGATTTGCGGTTCTTGAAGCCAGAGGGAAATCTTGGAGATGCGAGGAGGATATTGGTGTCGTCGCTACTCAGGAATTATCTCTTGGATCCCGGGATGGCAAGGTGCGTCTTTACTTTATTTGTTTTGAGGGTTCGAATTGCCTGACAAAGTATCTTAGGCAAATGGCCTCTGACCCCACCACTGCAAAACTTGTGTTCCACTGTTGGATGCTCACGAACCCTCCCGACGTCTTCCGACCCGGTCAGTCGACCGCGGACACCGTCAGGTCCTATCTCATCTGTAAAGATGAAACTGGGATGTGCATGGCGCGGGTTGCACAAACGACGGCCTCCAAGGTTCTCAAGGTCCCGACACTGATGTCGTATATCAACTATCGGCTGAAGAACAAGAAGCTCGTCGGGCAGTCGCTCGTGCGCGAGCTGGATCTGCTGTATTGTATCGTATGGGAGCCGTCCGCCCGTTCGTTTATCGAGGAAGGAGTCTTCAAGCAAGTGGCGATTGCGATGAGAAGGCAGCTCGAGATGAAGGACGAGCATATCGAGCCCGTGTTGTTTTACGGATTTGGGATATTCATGTACGTCTCTTTCCGTACAATCCAATTCTTCTTGCTTGTCCCTCTAACGCACCCTGTTCGAAGGCGCATCATGCTGCACATCGACCGCGACCCCACCCAATCCATAGGATATATCACCACCCTCATCGAGACGACCTGCTTGATGGAAGTCGCCTCCGCCGGGATCCGACTCAACGCAGTGCATCAGCGCTGCACGCCCAACCCGACCTTTGCTGGAGACTGGGGGAAACTCTTCTCGCGTCTTCAGCACGCCATCACGTGCGACCGGGTTGGGGAGTGCAACTTCATCGCGACGTCCGAGCTCGTGAGCGCGCTGAGAGCGTCGTTGGCTCGCGTGGCGGTGCCGACGTGGGTCGCACTCGAGGAGCTGGAGAGTTGGGGTTCTAGCCCAGAATGTGGGGCCGTGGCCGCACTCGAGTGCAAGGAAAAGGAAGAGGAGAAAGACAAGGGGTTGGCTTTTTGGTGCGAGTTCCTGGGGCAGCTGAAGATCACGGAGGACGATGTAAGAGAACAATACCGCCTTGACAAGAAGTGCGGGAATATCATCTGCCCGGCGCGGCTTTCGTGGGTTAAGAGTCCGAAGAAGGCAACATGTGTGGGGTGTCGATCTGTGTTCTATTGCGATCGTGCGTGTCAGAAGAGGTGCGTGCGCTAAACTTCGTGCTTCGGCACCTTGTTGACCCGTTTGCTAGGGACTGGGTGCATCACAAGACGGTCTGTAAAAAATTGGCCGGGAAACGCCTTCTGGTTGGCTCTTCCCCTGTTTCTCTAGATGAAACTTCTTGACGTAGTGGGCCGGGAATTGTAGGCGAGGGCACTCAGTTCATAGGCCCGAAGATATATCCCTTCGTGATGAATATTTACAATAGTCATAATCTTATCCTTTCAGTAGTGAACTTCGTAAAGAATCTAATGCCACAACCTACTATTATTTCCAATCCTTCGAACGTCCTGAAGGGCATGAGGTCCTGAGGAAATCTCTCGCACTGTGTGAGGTCAAGAACCGCTACAGGATAAATTTCCGCCTTCCGCTGCTCCAAAAACATAATTCCGACAGTTGTGCCATTGTCCACTGCATCGAAACCGTCCTCTCCAGTACTTGGGATGAGAACCTGAAAGTCGAGCAACCTCAGAAGTCGTGGAAATAGGATGGGTTGGTCGCCCCGCGGAATCTTCATCAGTGTCGATGGAATGCATATCTGTCTCGAGGATTTCGACGCTGCTGAACAAACACAAAAATCTGCGAGAGCGTTCATCGAGCCGTAATTCAAAAAAATGCCTGGCGGTAAGCTGGAGGAGGGTAATGTGACTGAAGTCGTCTTCACGAAAGAACTCCACGTAAGGGAAGATGGCTGGCAATTCAGCTTCGTCGCCACAGTCGATCCCTAGCTGGAATATTATGATGCCGGAGGAGCCAGAAAACTGAGCTATTCGGAATTTTGAGTCGGTTATGTCAACTACGAGCTCCGTTAGATCCTGATTATGTGTGACCCAGTGTTGCGAATAAGTTTTGAGAGCGCTATTTATGAAAGTTTTTCGGGAAATTGCGCTGGCGGATGATGCACCTGTTGCATCTAGAGTCGTGCAGCAGGTGGCCGGAACCTCGAGATGGGCGACAAACGACGCAGCCTCGAATAGCGTATGGTTGACATGTAGGGAGACGAGATGTGGTAGATAGACAGTGGAGAGATCAGAATTATCGGTGGTGGGCACTTTGAATGCCGAATATACGGCCAAGTGCTCGAGGGAATGCATAGTTTTCAGGCTTTGCAGCCAGGTTGAGAGAGGAGTTGTGCCGGTTTGCGACGTCATCATGATGTGCAGGGAACGCAGGCGCGATAACAGGAACACGTTAGGATCGATTTCGATCGGACCCGTGAAGGCAAAAATGGATAGACGAGGGGCGAAACCGTCCAGTATCTTCCTTCCGACCTCGCTGACGCCATAGGGTTGCTTGTTCCCAGAGTTTGCTCGACATACGAAGGATTTGAGTGACGGCGACGGCTGACAGAGCATACTCCAACATCTCTCCACAAACGGGCTGAGTTCCCAGACGGTGAGCTCAATGTTTTCTATTCTGTCCCAATACGACAAGAGTGTAGAGGCGTCGTCGCTGCGGTGGAAACTGTAACCTGTGACGGTCAACGGGGCATCCACTGTCCGGCGCATGATCTCTTCGCTCCACCGAGGGCTGAGACGGCATAGGTAGTCCACATCGATTAATTTTCCCCATATCGATGGCGAGGAAAATATTATGGCGCGCCACGACCGGCAGACGTGGGATGTGTCGCGGGTAATGGTAAGAGCACGCGGCCCCCACTGCGAGAGAGCATCGAATTCGATCCTTGGGATGTCTTGATCCATATCCCCATTCAGCATGAACGTCGACCACAGGATATCATCGCCCAACTTGCTGATTTGCGCAATGGCGCGAGTGCTGGGTGCTGTTGAGGATAATTAACGTTTGTAAAGTTTCGTGAAGGTCCTCCCTACCTGTGACGTTATGTGGTGCTTCTATCATAGTCCGAGACTAATAGTCAAGTATCTGCTGCTATGAAAGTGCCTCAAGTTGTGGAACGAGCGTCGAGGGAGGATCCAAGCTACAGGACAAAATGACAGCGTCACGCTATTGGATCACAAACTTTGTCAGAACGGCGCTGTTTCCTATCTGGGACCATACCCTGCCACTGGGAAGGCGACGGTGGGCGTCCCGTGTCTACCAGATTCTGAGGAAGACCGTCATGAATGTCCCTGGATAAATGGTTCGTGCATGCTTCAAGCAGCTGGGGGTTTCTTGGTTGTACTCATGACATTCGGAATTCTTACAACTCAAGAACGATTTCAAATTCTACGTAACGAGTATAACAGGCACTACAAATACTTGTCATGAAAATTTATAAATTCATCCCATTTTTGGGACGGCCCCGCCACAAGATGCCGTACATGTGCTTCATACCCCTTGACCAAGTCCTCCTTCATGCGAAATTCTTCTATATCACGCCCGAGCGTAGTCCGCTTTCGTATTCTCGAACACGAGCCGCTCCAGGTTTGGCAGTAGGAGGTGAGGCACACATGCACTCTGCGGGAAGATGTTGAATGAGAAGAAAGTGAAGATATTGGTGTCGAAATGAAGCTCCGTTAGGGCAGGGGTTACTTGCAGGAAGTCTGCAAGCGTGCGGAACGAATTACTTTTCTTGTATCCAACGAGCCGAAGGGCCTTGAGAGCCGGGAAGAAGATCAAATGAGCGGGCGGTGTGGCGGTGATTACCAGCTGACGCAGTTTTGCGTGAGTTGCAAGTGTGGACCTGCTTTCAATCGCGCCAGGCGAATCTGGCTTAAGGACGAAGCCGGCAGAAATTAGATTCGTGCGGTTCCCTAGTAATTCGTACCAATCCTTGACCGAAATTTCATGTCCTATGCACATGTGGGTAAGTTGCCCAGGGTAGGGTGGTATTGTTTAATGAATAGGCGACGTAAGCGTGGCGCATGGGGAATGCGAAAGCAAATTTGACGGCGGTGCGCTCTCCGAGGTCAATGTCGTATAGTTGAACCAGGGTAAGAAATTCCAAGTTCTCTAGAGTCTCTTCCCCCGCCCTGATACATATCCTACGAATTTCTTCCTGATACACCGTTAAATTTAGATGGCTAACGGTTCGAAGGGAGCCGGCGAAGAATTCTTTTTCACTGTATTGTGGGGTTGAAAAGAATCGGTAGCGAAATCGTCATGGCCACCTGGATGATCTAGCTTCTGCCAGAATTGATGTACGGCGAGGGATATCGGGAAAGATCCTGCGTTGTTCAGCCACCAGGTCATGAATTCGAGTGTGCGGGGATAAACATGTTGATCGTTGTGGGACACTCGTTTCGCAACACCTCCATCTTGGACGAGCAGCACTGGGTGAAATACGTAGAAATTCGCTTGGGGGCGGAGATGTCGCCAGAGTGGTCGTAGATTGAGAGCAATATTTCTCCATGTTGAACAAACATGGCAAAGGAGGACGGGAGCAATCTTGGGGTCAGGTTGGCGTTCCTTTGCCGGATTTAGCGATAAGCACAGCAAGAATATTTCTCCTAGGACATCAGGCGGAACTTCGTGTTAAAGTCTGAAACGAAGATCGTACCAAATATGAAGGCGATGTCTAGTATTTCTCTGCGGCCAAGATAGGGTCAAGAATGATTTTGGATATATTCGATGGCAGTCTTGCTCTTCAACAAGTTCAGAGCGGGTGATAATATCCCGAAGATTTGAGGGCGGATATCGTGGTAGATAAAGACAAAGTCACATCAGCGCGATCAGTGGGCTGTTGACCAAATACCGGGAAGTTCCGACGGCTGTCTAAACCAGCAACCTGCAACTGTTGGTCCGAAATCTTGCTTCCCCTCTTTCACGCCCTCTGACCAGATCTCTTGGTAAAGCAAGAAAACGAAGATCTTACTATGGAGCTTGTACCCAGGACATTAACTTTTTCCAAACAGAAATTTCGGGCTTGAAGATAGACAGCGCGGCTGAATCACGCTATGGCTCGAAGCAACTGACTCGCAGCTGCGAGCTAGAAGGAATGACTTGAGATACGTACTGGTGAGCAAGCGGTTCTCTTCCAGTATGGAGCTGAAGTTCGGAGTCAATAATTGTGCCTTCAAAGAGCAGAGGCGTGGTGGTGGCAACGGCAAAGCAAAGGCCAATCCTGACCATCGCGAATCAATTCTGTGGCCTCCCATGACTCTATGTGTTGCCTGGGCCATGCCACATTTTTGTTCAGATATAAAGGTCCAGTAACTGTTGGTCAATGCATTCCTTCAACTGGACTCTTCCCAGCCACCATCCTCTGAAATTCCTCGGGTTCGGCTCGCAAATAGTCCATTTCGCTCATTCTGATGTCTCGACCACGTTCACGTACTATCTCAATAGCTGCTCCGCTCTCGACATTGCGTCCTGCCAACATTCCACAAGTTGCCTACAATTCACCTGCTGAGCAGTCGGCCGTTTCTTCCAACAGTGGCGTAGAGTTAGGAGGAGCTCGTACTATGACGGGAATTTCACCTGAAACGACTGGTCGTCAACAGTCCGGAGGTTCTTCTCGACGAGTCCATTATGCCAGTCCTTCTCAAGGTAGTGGCCACTCGCAGGCAGCCTCGCAGAACGACCCTCTCCTCATCACGCGAGGGCTTGCCAGAGGCAAAGTCCCCGCGCCGGTACGTTCTGCAAGGCCCGGTCGCCGCTGGTCACCCGTGAAGAAATCGGGCCTTCGAAATGTCTATCCGCCGCAGTCTGAACCCGATCCATTTCACGCAGACAAGAACCACGTTTCGCAGTCTGACAAATCTCGCAAGAGCCACCCCTATGTCCAGACTTCGCCACTCGGGAACAAAGCTTTGAACACCCGACGCAGGAGCAGTGGCTCGTCTCGTTCTCGTGCTGCCTCCTCTGCAACTCGCGTCCCCAGCCCCACTTTGTCGGAGGGTAGCACCAAGTGCTCCGCTGATGCTGACTTGGAAAGTATCCCTAGCGAGGCGACTCGGCTTCGCGTCGTTGAGAATCTGAAACAGTACCACTACCAGGGCGCTGAGGGCATGGCGTTGGGCCTTTTCGACCGTGGCACGAACACGATTCCAGAAGTGATGGAGACCTCGGATGTGCTCTTCAGAGTCCTGAAGTATCTGAGGAATGCAAGCATTCCATCCACATATCGTGATGCGAAGACCACGACGAATCTCGTGGCTCTGCTCCGCTTCTCCCAATTCTGGAAGAAGGTATGTTCTTGTTCTGCTGTAGTTCATAACTCTCTGTTAAAACGCTCGTAGGACGGACTCTGGATTGACGAAGCCAAGTTGATCGGCTCCACGGACTTTGACGTTTACAAAGGCGCCTCACTCGCCGTGCTCATGGCTCGCCTCTTCGTCGGACGGGTACTCACAGCGTCTGACGTCTTCTACTGCCTCGATCTCCTGCTCAGCCACGAGCCGCACCACAACCGTCTCTGCGCGATGCATGTCATGGTCTCCCATCTCAACTATCGTATCGGCAAGAAGAAATACTGGGAAAACTTCCAGCTCTTCGCTACGAGGCTCTCGGCGGTGATCAACGAATGGGGAGCGAGCAGCGAAGATCGTTTTTTGGTTGAGGTTTGTCTATTTGTTGGTCAGGCGACGTCGAATGAAACTAATCTGTGGTTAGGACACCATTGGACGTCTCAAACACATGCATGAAATGGCGGAGATTAAGAAGAGCCTCAAGGGCGTCTCGTACGCCCAGTGAATTTCTGTGTTCATGGGTTGTCGGAGAGTGAATGAAAGGCATTTGTTTCAGCATTCACGAGCATACCCTGAATGTCGTTATATGTATGTTCTGTGTGCGATTTTTACGAAGTGAATGATACGAAATAGCGTGAAGCTTATATACGTCAAAAGCCGTGATAAAAATACCAAGAGAAATGGATTCATGGAGGGTGACAGGGATATAGATACCACACAAGGACCAAGGGTGGGATCGTGTGCTATTACACCAATTGTCTAGTAAGTGGACGATGCTGGCCAAGGACTGCCACTATTCTTCAACAAGAGGAACACGATCATCAAAACCCATAATCTCGTCCCACTTCGGTAAGTATATGCCGGACTTGGAGACAACGTCCTGGTAGTTTCATATCTCCCCAACGGGCGGAAATCGCAAATGAAGTTCGTAATCCAAGATTCCGCGTGCGCTGATATGGTTAACAACTTGATCGGCCTTGATTCTTTCCAGATCTTGAAGGGAAACGCAACTTGATTCGGGGACAATGGCGGGTTGAAAACTGATTTCTACGCGGCCTCTCTTCCTGTTCCTTGGAGCTAGCTTTGTCCACCCGGCCTGGACGAGGTTGAGGATGACATCTCCAGTCGTATAAGGCGCGGGTGTTGCCCTCTCAAACGCCAGACGTTCGAGGTCGGGTAACACTGTGTGCGATGCGAACTCCCTTTTCTCGCTATGGTCGAGGTAAAATAAAGCGGGAGTAAAGATGTGGGCATCAAAGTGCAACTCCGTCAAGGAGGGCATCCGATTGGGCATCTCGGCCAGGATGTCGACGCCGCGGTCGAAAGGAGTGCTGTCCGAAAGCCTGCAGAGCCTTCAGTGCTGGGAATGCGTGTGACGGAATGAACGTCCAGTCATTGTGAGTTGGCGAAGCTTGTGTGCTGGATTGCAGGTTGGTTGTGGGACACATCCTCCCGTTCCTGGACATGGAAATCCCCGCAAACGAGACGAGGGTAGGTTTTCAGTATCTCTATCCACCCCTTTTCGCTCATAGGGTAGCGCACACAAAGATGAGTCAGCTACTGCCAGCAGAAGTCCACTGTCTCAGGGTAGCCCAAGAGACGCAATCGACGTAGTCTTGGGGCATGGGGGAAGGAATGAGTGGACTTCGTGATGCGGTCAGTTCGATATATTGAGATGGACTCCAAAAATTCGAACGTATCCGATGTCGCTTCTTCACATAGTCTTCGTATTCGCGGTGATCTCGAAATGATTCACGCTACGGAGGGCTTCCACAGCGAAATCGAGGGCCTTCACAGGTGGAACACTTGTCCCGAATCCACTAAGGAGATGTCCGTCTTCGTCCACGTCGCAGTTGACCCACGTTTATCGACACGGAGATAATCCTGCATTGTGCCGCCACCAATTCAAGAAGCTGAGTGTACGAGGGTGGAGGTACCGGTAATCAGAGAATACCAGCTGAACTTGTATCTTGCTTGCGACGATATACCGGGAAAATAACTGTGAATGAGTCCTTGGGATTGGAGTTCGCCCCATAGTTTGGGGAAGGCGAGAGCGGTGGCTCGCCATAATGAACATATATGGCAAAAGAGGATCGGGGGTATCTTGGAGTTTGGTTGCGTATTCTGATTCCCCCTAAAGCCGTCCGGTGGTCGTTTGAAGAGGGAGAAGAGAAATATCTCTCCCAGAACATCAAATGGGAGATTTTGGGCAAGAGACATGCTGAAAGAATTTTGCTAGCATCAACCTCCTTGGCTGTTTCGAAAATCTTAAACTTACATTATCTGCACGTTATACAGTCGAGGCAGTTTGTCGGTCGTGTAGGTGGTTGGAGAAGAGACGAAATAGGAGCAAGGGCAGCATTCGTGGGTAAATCGACTGGCTATCACGTGCATGAAATTCATGAATACAGCCCGTTTTCATCTTCTCCCTCCAGCCAGTTGTTATTATTCCTGGGAGGAACATGTAGGCGTTGTTTATTTGGAGCTAGTAAACTCGATATTCACATTCTCTACTTGCAGATAAATTATTGCCGGCGACGCCACGAACGAAGGGTCCAGTTTGGGTCCAGTCAACGCGCATCCTCACATCTGCTTCGAAGGAGTTAAGTTTTCGCCGTAGATGTGGTCGATTTTTATCAATGCATGGATCACTTAGACCCGTCTGCGTTTAGCTGGTAAGTGTCTCTTGATACTCGTGGCGACATCTTTCAGTTATGTATGTTTGCATTACGATTCAGGTTTCTCACCGAGGTCGACAAAATTTTAAGATATTCATGTCTCACACTACGGACACTGCAACTGCCTCGTCGAGCCTCGATTTCTTGCATGTTGTCTCCCGTCCTCGTCCTTTGTCAGTCGCACAATTCATGAGTCATCCCCGAACACTGCCACATATTGCTTACTCTCCGGGCGCCATTTTCAGCGGTGAAGAGGGCTATCATGATGAGTGACTGCTCCGTGGTCTAGTACCCAATGGATCTGCGGTGCGTACACAGTGGCGATGCTTGCTGGATATACATTAAAAGGCACGAAACTTGCGTAGGCCGTCTTCGGTTTCTGTCACTAGACGATCATCCTGTATACTGGATTCGACTCTACTCCAATGCAAGACGAAAAGGCCGATCTAAAGGAGGCCTTAAATGCAACTAAGAGCAAGAAGAACGACGAAATCTTCATAGACGAGGCGCAGTATGGTGTCTGGACGTTGAAGGTTGCGAGATCGGTTCAGTCTAGGGTTGAGCTATACTGGAACGAACTAAGGATGGCGTATCCCTTGTTCGTGCGGCTCCTGGCCGACATCTACAGTGTTTCGCCTACCCTTTTCACCATCTTCATTGCTTGCAATGTTTGGGATGGCATTCAAGACGCCTTGGGAATGCATCTGTCAAGCTCGCTCTTACGGAAGGTGACCGCAACGCGTCTATTCCAGTCGTCTTCTTACTGACGTTCATGATTAGATCGAGGCAGGCCTTGTCTCTGGAATTCCTGACGCTCGAGGGATTGTCATGTCCGTAGTCCTGCAACTCCTATGCTCGGTGGCTTTTGCGTATATTGGTTGGCACAAGTACGCAGACCCTAGTCTGTTCCAGCCTGCTACTTATCCAAATATTCTTGTCATAGCTCGAGAGCGCTACGAAATCTACAGACTGAAGTTACTCAGCATTTTCAATTTACTTTTATGAAAGGTGGGTGGCGACAATGGTATTTAAGCATCGACGGTCTCATCCTCCCGTTCTTCAGCAACACTAGAGAAAGATCTTCCCACTTCCCTAGGCAAGTAGACTACAGGTGTATTTCCATACCTTCATCGACTGACTCACTGTCCAGAGGCCACCAGTAGCTCAGACATTTCCGCCAACGATGCTTGGGAAGCTATCTCCAATGTGATATCATTCTTCTCGGAGCTATTCAAAGTTGCGAGCCAGCTCCTTCTCATCTTGCACCTCTCAAGGACGTCAGGCGGGTTGGCATTCGCTCTTCTGTGTGTCGTCAAACCCGTCTTCTCTGCGATGACCTACACGACTTGGTTAGATAAAGGTGTGTCGACCCGAATTGAGTTTTGCCAATTTGAGGATATCTGAAAGTAGAAACTCTAGTATGTTTCGCGTACGCAAGTAACACCGACTATCGTCGGATGATGTCGCTAGAAAGCCTCGCAAGCGACAATTACCACCAGGACATCATCAGTCACAATCTCGGCGCGTGGATAATTAAAGGTATCCATAGGCCCTCTTCTGGATATCCACTAAACGGAACGCCTGGATAGAATATCAGAAAATTCGAAAGGCCCTTACAGGAATCACCGACGAGCACCCCTATTACTATTTCTCTCGACGAGATACCCCAACGTATGACATTTTTGCTGAAGTACTAGGTAATTTACCCATCGTGAGTACCCTCCGTCTCCCTGCGTAGGTGCTTGCCAATAAGCCAATTCGTGCCAGGCATACTGCGCCATTCTTGCGATATTCAGACCGTCGGCGTTCTCCGTCGCGTCCATCGCCATCCTCCAGCAATCGGCGCTGACACTGCGGTACTCGTTGGAAAAGATCTTTCGAAGCGCGGAGGAAGTCCGTGGAGCCGTGCATTCGATCAGGAGAACGTATGAGGCGACGGAAGTCTTGAACCTGATGGAGGATGGCAACCTTGCGTACCCTCGAGTGGACGAGAAAGAGGAATGGAACGGTGAGAAGGGAATGTCGTTTGACCTGAAGTAGGTCCTATCCCAAAGTCCTACCTTCGTTTCTGATCTCGATTCGATTCTTAGAGACATTACGTTTGCCTACCCAGGCAGCGAGAAAACCTCAAACGCCCTGAATGGAATTTCTCTCAGCATCAAGCCTGGCCAGCTCGTCATCATCGTCGGGGCAAATGGCTCTGGCAAGTCCACGCTCATCCGCATTCTTTCGCGGCTCTACGACCCCACCGACGGCACCGTCCTCATCGACGGACGCCCTTCGAAAGACTACCGCGTCCGGGACCTGCATCGCGCTACTGCCATTCTCAGCCAGGAGAACTACGTCTACCCTCTGACGTTCGCAGAGAACATCGGGCTGGGGTATCCTGAATGTTCGGATGATATGGCGCTCGTGGAGGAAGCGGCGAAGGAGGGCGGTGCGGCTGAGTTTATTGGGAAGCTGAAGAACGGGGTCCAGACGATCCTGAACGCCCATGTCACGCATTTCCATAATAATTTGCATGGAAATCGGGAGCACCCACTTTACGCGGAGATGGAGGAATTAAAGAAAAAGATCGATATTTCGGGTGGAGAAAAACAAAGGATTGCAGCGTAAGTCCGACCGTTGTCTTTTGGTCGTCGACGACAACGGCCTTGCTGATTGAAGGTGTCCTGTGCGCGCACATTCATGCGTTTCAAGTCTGGAAGGATCAAGTTCGTTGCCGTCGATGAGCCTAGCTCTGCACTTGACGCCGAAGGCGAGCTACAGCTCTTCAACAGGCTCGTCGACGTGCGACAGGGAAAGACGATGGTGTTTGTTACCCATCGGTTTGGCCATCTGACTAAACATGCGGACCTAATCGTGTAAGTGAATTTCTTTGTTCGACGATCTCGTTAACAATTATCCTCTTGTAGCTGTATGAAGGATGGACTTATCGTTGAAACCGGCACCCATCCAGAGCTGATGGAGAATAAAGGAGAATATGCAAAGCTTTACGATATTCAAACACAAGCTTTTGCTAACTGATTTTAAATTGTACACCTACCAGAAAGTGGTCGGTCGAAAGGGCTCTTAAGGCGTGGAATTTTGGAGTAGATGATCATCTCAACATTGAGCAGGGAAGAAACCGATTCGTACTTTGCTACACTATTTTACAGGTTGACTAGTTTAATTATCGGACCTGCCTACAAACGGAGCGAAATGATTTGCTACCTTACGAAAGATGTGGAATATACGCTGTCCATGGTAATACTATCACAGCACTCTCTGGGAGATTCTTCAAACAAACAAAAGCGTCTATGATGAGAATAAACCGACCTGCGATATACGCCACATGTCCGAGAAAGAACAAGAATAAGGCTATAGTAGCCAACGTATAGCCTAGCACCTTCATGTATGTCGGGCTGTCCGTACGGATATGCAGAAAACGTCCCGCGTGCAGCAGGGCGTGAAGTACGACGGCCATAACAGAAGCACCTACAGAAAGAAACGTCCCAGTTTTCCATGCGATTTGAGCTTGTGGGGAAGGAAACATCTGAGTGAAGAGGATGAAGTTGGCGGAGTTGAACGCGCCTCCGAGGATGTTTGTGACGGCAATGGAGAGGTGGAGAGGGATGTTTGTGGTCTCAGGGTAGTAAAAGAGGGGCACACTCAGTGCGCCAACAGGTATGGCTGGGGATCTCCCCTTGAACCCGAACTGGATGAAGAATATGTCTCTTCCTATACTCCTGAGAGGCCATATGACGAACGTTTGGAGTAGAAACCACAGGAAATGAGAGAACCATGACCTTGGTTTCGCACCTGTGGTCGTCGGTGGCGACTCCAATACACTCCTGAGAATCTCCTTTTGAATGCGCTCCTCGCGTTTGAAATCGGTGACACGTCCTTCGCCTATGATGTCCAAATTGTGAACTGCTTGCTTCAGGTCCACCCGAACGGGGTAACGGATATCGAGAGGTTTGTCCCACCAGAGGAAGTAGAGCATCGCGTTCGCAATGAGGAGCACGAAGGCCAGGCACTCCAGATGGATGACGAAGAGGTCCCGACCGAAGCGTGGGCTGCATTGTATGATGAACCACGAAACCTGCAACGCGACGACGGCTGTCAGGAATGTACTCTGCTGGCCTCGGTCATGGATCTCGGACTCCGTAATGTTCGGAAAGTCGATGACGCCCTCTTCCAGAAGAGCGTTGAACTTCTGGATCGACAATGTCTGGTACGGGCTACCGTCAACGTAGAGCATGAAGCCGCCCATCACCATAAAATGACCATGGGTCTTTGTCCACCCGTCCTCTATCAGGAATTCAATTCAGCATGGCCTCAGGGCGATCGAAATACTGCCTCGTACCTCTATACAACCTCGCAATCGCTCTTGCCTCCACATACTGTCTGAAAGCCCAATATACCACCAGGTCAGGGGCTATGATGATCCAAAAGAATATGTTGAGCTTCGAGCGGAAGATTCGGAATCTGGAATGATTTGGAGCTGGTACGTTCGGGCGTGCGCAGATCCATAGGCATGCGATAACGGTGAAGACGCAACTGTAAACGATGTTGTGTATGGACCTTGTGGTTAAGAATTGGACCGAATAATGAGACGTAGACGAGGATGAAGCAAGCGCCTCGTGTCCTTGTGATAGGGTCCAAGGAAAAAGAGCCATAACAACATAGGATATCTTGCGAACGGCCGCGAGGTGGGCTGAATGCGGCTCAGATACGACGGAGGGTCCTCATTCTAAACTTCGGCTGATGGTGTTAGGGAATTTCCCAGTTCTTGCTTCAAAGAGAGGGCTCTGTCTCAAGCTTCGATGCGTGTCGAACGCTGAAAGTACGGAGAATGAGTGGAAAGAGGAACTAATAGGGTCAGGGTTTGTCGTCTTGGGATCAGATTCCGTCGGAAGTTGCCGAAAGATCAACTCACGAGCGCCTAGGGTCGCCAGCTTAATGAAACTGAATTCACGCTTCACGGGCGAGATATTCAAGGCTTGAAATCCATTACGCAGCGGCCGAACAGCTTTATTTAAGTTCAGACCTCATAATCCGACTGTTCGTTGGGCATCCAAGGAATCGAGGTGCTATTGCGCACCATCGTGGAAGCAAACAAAAACCATGGATTGTGTATGAAAGCCTTCAGGCACTTCATCTAATTTATTAATTCATGATGACACACTTCATTCTTATTCGACAGTTAGTGGAGAGAAGAGCCCAGGCCTGAGGCAACCATCGGCTTTGAACTCTCCCAAGGACGATTACGCTCTGGAAGAGATCAAAGACGAGCTATAACAGAACGACGCAATCTAGGCCAACGCACGCAGTGACGCATGTACCCTCCAAATCCCGGCGGAGATCGGTGCGACCGTTGGCTAAGAGACCATTCCGATTCCCGACTACGCTGCATTTGTGAAATCTGACGGCAAGGAAGGTGATAAGATGTAGAGAACGATGTCAGGTTTGCCGCGTGTTGGGAGACAGGATAGGATCTAAGGTCTAGACCGCTATGCGCACCGGTGGGGAATTGAAGAGTGATGAAGCTCGAATTACGAACCACGAAAACCATGCCTGGTGGGAGAAAAGAGCTCATCTCGTTCAGGTAATTCCTTGGGAAACGGAGAGGGATTAAGATGAACCGCAGCCATCCAGGATCCTGCAAGTCGATCAGATACGAAGGCTGTTCGGAGACTCGAATGCTTGCAGGCGGACGAGCACGCACCTTGCCTACGGCGATAATCTCAAAATAGGTGATTGTGATTCCAGAAATAGACCAAGGTACGCGTCGTAAGTACGGGCCGGCGAAAGGTGCGAGGACGAAGTTCAGAAGCAGGGTCTTACTACATACCGACCGAGAGTCCAGACCGCTTTATGGGAGCAAGAAGGGGGTAATATCTGGAGAAGATTGCAAAGAAAGCTTGGCACACGGAGAAACGCCCTCAGAAGCGGGGATCTGCAGTCTAGATTCCTTTGTTGAACCTGGTGAACCTTAAGGTAAAGGTCGAGAACTTAGCTGCCTGTGGAACCAGCAGGAACCAGGAGACAATCGGATAGTTATTTGGAAAGTCAGAGGCCCTGTGGGAGTATACGGCTCCTACTTGACTGCCAAGTTCCAGAAGGAGAGAGTTTGTGTTAAATAGACACCTGGCGTATCATTTCGACATTAATCCTAGTCGGCACGTTCTGATTCGCCGTCGAGAATAAATTTGGATGCTCTTACGAAACGGAATTTGCTGTCGTTCGTTATTTTGAAGGTCTTCAATTCGAGCGTTGGGAGAAGCAAGTTTATGGCACAAGTCCCTTTCAATTTCGTCAGGCAACGAGTTAAATGAGCGCTGAACGGTGATCAAAGACACGGACAAACGTGCCTTGTTTCCCCCACCAAACCACATGAGACGATGTTCGTAACCGTTCAGAACTAGGCTACCGAGAGTCTGGACCGCTTTGTGGGACGTCGAAGATCGACAGAGGGATTTCGTCGAGTTTCAGCGACAAAGCCCAAAGTTAAACTCAAGTGCTTAGCGAGCGGAAAGATTTTCAGGAGAAAGGAAGAAAGAAAGAAAGGGACAAGGATGTGCCACGGTCAGCACATTGGCTACTACGAGGCGATATGATAGGAGTTTGAAGGAGGCTCAGCCTATGCTCTTATGCGGAGCACTGAGGAAGCATAAAGCATAGAAAGGATGAGGTCATCTAAGGTTCGAGACCCACAAATCCGAAAGTAACGCACAAGGCCCGAACAACGGCATCCTGTATACGAGAAGCTATGTAACTGCGAGAAGAGTCTGGAACAACGAGTGCGCCACGCGTTGCTCGGTGATTTACTGAAATAGGAACAGCCGGGTACGACCTCGTTGACTGATGTCTTCACGAAATTGATAAGACCGAGTTAGAGGCGAACGTACTCGCGCACATGGCCGTAGAAACCCGGTTACCGTGGGTCGACGACCATGGAGAAATGTACCAACGAACATCTAGAGTGGCCCTGGGGATATATAGTGACGAAATGGTGTGAAGGACTTTTTCCAAGTAGGCTAATTCGAAGCTCTTAGTATTATATTCTTTTAGTTAAATAACAAGTCTAGACTGCTTTGTTGGGGTAAGATGGTTTGTTCAACCAACGGCGATGCCTCAAGTCAACTGAGAAACGGTTTGTCGGGTGCTTGCGGAAAGGAAGGCGACGAGATATGAAGGACACCGTATGCACGCCATGCCAAGAGACGCATGGTGACGGTACTTCAAGGTGCTGACTCTAGGGTTTTAAGTCCAGACCGATTTATGGGAGTACGACATTCTCCTTGAAGGAACTGCGAAGGCTAAAGTCAATTGTCAACCGAGATAAGAGAGGTCTTTGTGGAAACAGTTTGTAAATAAGGGTATAATACTGAGGTGGAGGAGACAGTATGGCTGTGAAAACCCGATTACTGTGAGTCGACGAGCAAGGAGAGGTGTACCACCGAACCTCTGGGGTAGGGATCGTGCAGGGCTCTGGAGGTCAGGTCTGCCAGGGGAGGTGCTCGGAAAGTGACGGAATGTCCAATTAAATTAGAGTCTCGAGTCTAGATCGCTTTACTCGAAGAATGACAGCGCGGTCAACCTCAGTGACGAAATTTCAAGTGAGCCGTAAGTACAGAACGCCCTCAGCCAGAAAAACGTCGAAGACAGATGTGCGTAATTTCAGGGTCAAGAATGAGGCGACCTGCACCGAAAAGCGATCAGATAGGACTCCAGAAAATGTTCGAAGAGGCACGCACGCGCCACGCTTTCGAAAGAAATGAATCTTAGGCCTGAGCCCGTTCTCTCATCTCGCGTGCCCTATGCTGAGCACTCGACGTCCTTCATATCTCTGCAAAGTCTATCAGTGATCAGCGTGTCAACTTCGAATAATACCTGTGCACAGGGCCCGCCATCGCTCCAGACCCCCAGCAGAATTAACGCCCAGCGACTCAAGGGCCGAATAACGGCGAAGAGTGCTGTGCAGTGTGCACGGCGCACGCAAAGTCATCGACCATGGCGTAGATGAGACCCGGACGAGGGCCTAGACCCGATTTAGGTCGGACCTGCGCCACGCCGCGGCTCGGGTTGGGGGTTTGGTATTTATTACTGGAAATAGCCTAGTGGGGTGCCGGAGGGGGTTGTTGGCGGTGACGGAACGGAATAAACGTTAACAGAGGTTAACAGTGTCAGGAGGAGGCTTAAGGGGATGCGAGGAACGAGTTACAAGGCACAACAGGGAGGAGGGTGGCCCATGGGGGATTCGGATAGAGGGCAGCCGATGCACTGCCTCGAGAGCCGAGGGTCTTGGGCGGCTAAACCCCCCCAGGAGAACATGCGTTATGGCATTAGATGTCGACGTCTGCCTCGCGCAAACGTCTCGGAGTAGGAGAACAGGCGCGAAACTTGAAAGACTGCCGGCGTAGATATGATGGAGTGCTCTAGGCTCTGCATTCCGGGGCAGTGTGACAGACGATAAGCAGCAATTATACTGCATACTAGTTCAACGTCCATGTCAAGAATAAGAGGAATAAAATTATTGCCAGGGGCCGTAACCACAGCAGCAACAAATACCGTTTTAAAATTTCGGCGTGTGGTGCAGTGCTCCTAGTACGGACGACCAAGGAGAAAACGAGGTCGTCTGAGCAGATACTACTTACGACACGACAAGAGCCATGGATGTTCCCTTAGCAGTCCAGATTCCTGGATTTCGGGGCCTTTCCCGCCGGCAGACGGTGGGAGCGAGAGAAGAGATTTAAAAACAGACGCGACTTCGCAAGTCAAAGAAACTCAAGAAGGAGCACGGCAAAGGGAGTCTGGAGGTTATATTCAGGGACGCGAAGCGTACCGTGAGTGTACGCCTGTGATCTACATATGCAGTCAAAAAAGGAGGATTGCCAGTACTGACAACTTACAGCTTACAAGCTACAGGTTTAAACACGCCGACGTCCCCGTTGGAGTTGGAGAATCGGTTGGCTTTGCTCTTCGAATTCCCGCTCACACCAGGGCCTGCTGGGAACCGGTTTCAGAGCATTCAGGGTACGCACCCGAATTCAAGGAAGGAGGAGTCAGATGTCTAACTTTGTCGACCACAAAGAGATATTTCCCCGCGGCATCGCGAGGAACCCGTCTACCAAAAGACCCAAAGTAGCAGACGAGAGAAAGCAGGGATGATATGTATCTCACCCGAAGCACGTTTGTCTAATCCCTGGGATGCCATGGCACGCAAGATACGGTGGTGTATTGCACACTTTGAAGGACTTACTAGCGCCGAGTGGGCGGGTCTGGGCCTGCCGAGCGGTACTCTTTCGATACGGCGAAGGAAGTCGAAGGGCGAAGCGTGGGGTAAGCCGTAAGTTGGGTAGGTAAGTAGATAGGTAAGTGGGGGGCGTGAACTGAGTAAGTCGGCGCGTGAGAGGTGACAAATTCACAGATGCTAGCAGGTTGTTGATGATGAGAAAAAGAGAGAGATTCGTGCGGTGAAGATTCACACGCTTCGAACTCTTCGAAGAAGCCCATCAACGTCCATGCTTTGACTTGCCCGTTGTTGCGTCAAGGAAAGTTAAACTGCGTGCCGCTTCGCGCGAGGTATTTTTTTCTCGTCCGTCCTTCGCGAGTACGTAGATAGGACTAGGACTGAAGGCGCGCATACGTGAACGCGGTAGATACGATGAGGTGAGAGGCGGGCCAGCGATGAAGCGGAGCCCGAGACGAAGGCGGAGGTTACGTTTTGACGAGAGACGGAGAAGTTAGAGAGGCATTTTCGTTTTCGTTTCGGAAGGACAGCCAACGGAGGTGGGGAAGCTGAGCCCAAGAACTGCGAAATGGTCGCGTTCAACAAGAAAAGACGCAGGCCATCAGTGATAGAACGGTGATAGAAACTTGGGCAGCGCGGCTTGGATACGTATAGGAGCGCCGCCAGACACGAATGAGGTAACGGCACTGCCGTTTTGGGTGGAGCATAGGAAGTTTCATTGCAACATCGGTTCCGCGCTGAATCCAAGACGTATTCGAGACGGCCAGCGCTGGTTTCGAGCCCTGCTCCATGGTGAATAAAGTTGACGAGGTCGAGCGGGGTCGAGAATCGTGCTGGGACTATAAAGAGGAAGGCGCTGTGGACGCCATCCAACTAAGTTTCTACCCGCGACGTTGGTGAGGGTGCGAGTGTCGTGCTGCCCAGACTCTTGGGCCTCGGCTCGGGTTGTGCCGAGTGATTCGGAAGAAGAGTGAGGCGAGTCTGGGCGGGCCTGGACTGCTTGAGTGTGTGATCGGAGTTGAGTAATCCGGAGGAGGCCGGTATGAGACCCAGAGCGGGCGGTCTGGAATCGAGGCCTGTGTTTGTGGCGGGGGGATATCTACGAGGCTTGCCTCGACCGCTCTCTGACCGTTACCCCCCTCGCACCTCGCTGCCCCACTCGTCGTATCCAACAAGACACACTCGATAGACGCGGAACACCTGTGTGCGCATATAAGCCGGGTCCAGGGCGCCCGACCGCAGATGGATCAGATCCAAAACAGCTCTCCGTTCAACAACAACTCTCTTCCTCCCTCTGCCTCGACCGCGAACAACTCCTCTGCATCCGCGAACCAGGCGCGCCAGATCCACAACCAACAGCGCCTGCTAGTACAGCAGCAGCAACAGCAGCTGTACAACCTCCTCCCCGGTCCGAGCCAGCTCCAGACCTCGCCGACTTCATACTCCCCGAGCAATACACTACCACCAATCCCGACGTCCTCTGCTCAACAACAGCAACAGTACTTTTCGTCGGAAGGCCTTTCATCACCCACCCACACGACCCCGCCAAATTCGGCGACTTGGCCACTCCAGCGCACGTCCAATTCACGAGAAGAGTTGCACCCGCGCCAACAGCAGCAGCAACAACAACAGCAGTACCTCGCCCAGCAGCAAGCTAGGGCGCAACACCAGCAGCAGGAAGCGCAAGCTCAAGCACAGGCTCAGTCGCACCCGCCGATCAAGAGAGAACCGATGAGTTATTCAGCGAAAGACGACAAAAGCGCCGTCGCATCGTCCAGTGGCTCGAATGGGAACCCTGCGCGTGGTACGGAGGATCCTATGCCTTCGACGAGTGACTTCGTGAAGAAGCTATACAAGTGCGTTCCTCCGATCTAATTTTTTCTTTGTTCGTTTGCTTATGGTCTTGGTGTAGGATGCTCGAAGACCCGGCCTTCCAATCCGTGGTATGCTGGGGTCCACTAGGCGATTGTTTCGTCGTTAAAGTGCGTCTTTGAGGCGGCCCCCGCTTTTCTCCGCTTGCCAGATGTGGTGCTCACACGTTGTTCCTTCTTTCCTATTGTCGCGCCTCAAACAGGACATGAACGAGTTCACGAAGTCCATCCTCCCACGCATGTTCAAGCACTCGAACTTTGCGTCGTTCGTGCGCCAGCTGAACAAGTACGACTTTCACAAAGTGAAGAACACGGACGATAACCAGTTTGGAGAACACGTGCGTATCTCATTTCCCCGACATTTTCATTTGCCCGCCTTTCATTTGTCGCCTCCGGCTCTCGCTTCGAGACATCTTCGCGTTCAATCTTGATCGCGTCCTGTCCCATTTCTCTTCCACCCTCATTTCTGCCTTCAAATCTTCGTTCCTTCTAACTGTTATCCTTCCAGTCCTGGACGTTCCGCCACCCCGACTTCCACGCCGACCGCCGCGACGCACTCGAGAACATCAAGCGCAAAGTCCCTGCCGCGCGCAAACCCACCGCGCTCTCCTCCTCCTCCGCCCTCCCACCGCACTCGTCCGCCGGGCACCCCTACGCCAACGGCCGACGCTCCTCCTCCCCACCCTCCCTGCACCCCGCCGCCTACCCCGGCGTGCACCCCGGCCACCCGCACTACAACGCCACCACCGCCCAGCTCACCTCAGAGATCCAAAGGCTGAAGGAGGAGGGCGATGACCTACGCGGGCGGATCAGGAACCTGGAGCGGAATTATGAGAGCGTCCTGGTGGAGATGGTGGGCTTCCAGCGGGGGATGGCGCAGCAGGACGGCCTGATGCAAAGCTTGATCGCGTATTTCCTGGGGAGCGAGAGTGGTGAGTAGTTTACTTCTTTTCGGTTTTGGTGTTTTTGTGTGAGTGAGTTGTGGGTCGGGTCAAGTTGGGTTGGGTTGGGACGGACAAATGATGGACATGGCGTTGGAACTGGGGTTTGGGTAGGGAGGGGCTTGGGCATGCATGCGTCGATCCTTTTTTCTCTCCTGAGTTTGAGTCACGTCTGAGCATCTCCGAGCTCGTTCAACGACCTTTCTTCATCTTCCCTCGTCCTTCCTCACTTTTCTGTTCATTTCACGCGCATATATTCCACTTTTTCTCTTCACACTGTACCATACCGCATGCTCTCTCCTTCCCTTCTCCCTTACCCTTCTTACCCTACTTCCTCACTCACCTTCACCTTCACCTTCGAACCGTACAATAATCGTCTCTGATCACCTTTTTCTTTTCTTCGTATTACAACAGCACCACCCCTCTCCTCTACCTCCGCCCCCCTCCCCGCTCCTCTTCGCAACGCCATCACTCTTCCTACTACCACGCCGATTACGCCTATCTACTCTACGTAGTTCCATTTTCTCTTTTTGCGTTTTCGCTTTGATTCGAGTTGCTTTTTCGAATTCGTACCGCACTTCGCGCTTCGTAGATGATAGATAAATCGCCACTTACCACCCCTCATCTCCCGTCGCATATTTCGCTGTTTTTTTTGCGCGCATTTCCGCATTTACTGCCTTTTTTTTTGTATGTACAATACCTTACCATCTTTCCTCCTGTTTATTGCCTTATCTTTTCTTCTCTTCTTCTCTTCGTTTTCTTCCGTTCTCCTTTTTTTTATTCCACTATCCTCTCAACATCGCTTTGGGCCAAACGTAGTGTACCACCACCCACCACCACCGCTTTCCCTTCTCTTCTGCTATGAAAAAGACGAAATATGCCCAAGCCCCATCGGCGTCGATATCCTGGAAGGTGTCGGCGCTGTCTGCCCAGTCGTTAGCCTTCCCCAACCTAAGTTTCTGAAGACCCAGACCCGACCCAGAATCTAGATAGCTCTCGCACCCGTACGTCCACCGACTCCACAGGCCCAAGGCCTGGCTATGGAGGGTGGGCGGCGGTCAGTGAGAGGGCGTAAAGAGGGCGGTCTAGAAGATGAGCTTGAGAGGTTCTGGCCCCGCTCGTCCGTCCCGCTGCGGTTTCACGTCTGTCGTTTCTCAGTTTCTGTTTTGTTTCTCTTTGAATCTGAGATTTTGAGAGGATGGCGCTGACAATTCTGCCTTGCTTTTCTGCCCTTTTCTATGCGCTTGCTCGCGTTTCGCGTTTCGCGTCATTCGCGTTCGATGATATTGCAACGTGCTCTTGTTGAACGATGGTTCGTGGCGTTCGCGTCGTTCGCGATATCTTCGACAATTTCTGGCAACTTTCCTCACCGACCATGATGTCTGATCGACACGCACATACGTACTCTCAGGCAAGCTAAAAGCTTCCTCTAATAACAACGGCGCGTCTGGCTCCCAACTTTCGCCCTCCACCTCCCGCCTCCAACAAACCGGCTCCCAACCAACACCCCAACAACAACTGCAAGCCCAGATCCATTCCCAACTCCAACAAAGCCAGCATGCCCAAGCCGCCCTCCAAGCCCAGCTCTCCGCCGTGCGCGAGCGGCGCGCGTCGATAGAGGCAGCCGAGGGCGCCCCACAGTCTCAACAGGTGCAGGTGCAGGCCCAGCAAGCCCAACAACAATCCCAAGGGAGCTTGGCCGGTGCTCTCGGGGGCCTAGGGCAGATCTCCGACCAGAACCCTTTCCTGCCGCCTCAGACCGTGCAGCGTATCCTGAGCGGGGCGCCTGCGGGCGGGCTAGGGAATAATCTGGACCCTGGCGGTGGGCAGGGAGGTGGGCGGATGACGCCTGACATCCTTGGGAGGGCGACGCTCCTGCAGATGAGCGAGCTGAGCAGACGCGCGGCGTATTTGAACGCGCAGGGTATCCAGGCGGGCCAGGGCGCAGAGGGCGGGCGGCTGTGGGCAGGGATGAACTTCCCTCCTTCGTCTGGAGGAGAGGGGAGCGGGAGTGGAGGGCAGGGGCCAATCCAGCCGCAAGGCCCGGATGGGCAGAAGCTGACGCGTGCGGAGGCGCTGGCGCAGATTAGGGATTTGCATAGGGAGAGGCTGTCCCAGGGCGGTTGGGCGAACGCGCCTGCTCCGAGCGTACCGCTTGGGTTGGGAGGCGTAGGTGCGGTTGGAGGCGTAGGATCCGTTGGACTTGGTGGCGTGCAGATTAGCGGCCAGCAGAGGCTTGGGCAGCGGAGGAGTATGAGTGAGGAACGGATGGCGTACGCCCAGCAGCAGCAGCAGCAAGGACAGCCCGGGCAAGGAGGCGAGATGATGCAGGTCGACCCTCAGGAAGCAGAGGACGAACGAGGACGAAGAGCGCGTAGGAGACAGAGCGAAGGAGGTGTTGGTCTGCGCGGATCCTCCTCCGGGTTGTCTCTCGGCCCTTCAGGTGAAGGAGGCGACGGTTCGCAGGCGCAGAGCCCCGAGGAGTACGTGATGCCCTCGCCCCCGCCGAACTCTGCAGCGGCCTCCGGCCAGGGTACAGCCTCTGGCTCGCCCCAACAACAAGCGCAACAGCAGAGGCAGCAGAGTGGGATGCCAAATCCTTGGGCGTCACTCATGAACATGAACCTCAACTTTGCGAATGCCTCTGGGTCTGGTGGGCCTGGGGGCCCGTTTATCGTCGACTCGCAGCCTTACAATGGCCCCACCGCATCCTCTGGCGGTGTTCCAGGGTTCAGTATGGACGACGAGAACAACGGGCTGACACACGAAGGGCTGCAGGTGTATACCGTCGGCCACCTCTTGCCGCGTGGTGTGGGTATGGGCGGCGCGGAGGATGCCAGAGGGAGCTGGAGCTTCGACGCGAGTGGGCTGGCGGCAGGTGGGATGCTTGGGTCGATGGAAGGAGGTAACCAGGGAGGCGAGCAGCAGCAGTATGCGAGTGGGAGCTACGCCGGCGACGATGGAGAAGAGGAGGTTGTGCGTCCGACACCGTCGAATGCGCTCGTGCCGGGGGCGTCGTCGCACTCGATGGCGGAGTCTTCGTCTGCGGCTTCATCCTCGACAACAGGAGCAAGTAGAAAGCTTCGCGTACGTCGCTCGACGTTTGTTCCTGGATGGGCAGTACCACCGAGAGTGCTTCTTGTCGACGACGATGCCGTCAGCAGAAAACTGAGCAGCAAGTTCCTCAAAGTCTTCGGGTGCACGATCGATGTTGCTGTCGACGGTATTGGCGCGGTGAATAAGATGAACTTAGAGAAATACGACTTGGTGTTGATGGTAGGTTTCCTTGCTTTCGTTCTCGGATTCGGAGACTGATATTGTTGTAGGATATTGTCATGCCTAAGCTGGACGGTGTGTCAGCGACGAATCTCATTCGCAAGTTCGACCAAGGAACACCCATTATCTCAATGACGAGCAACTCGAAGCCGAACGAGATCATGACGTATTATTCGTCCGGTATGAACGATATCCTACCCAAACCGTTCACGAAGGAAGGTTTGCTAGACATGCTAGAAGTACGTTGCCTGTCGTGACGATTTTTGCCTAATGTTTATCACTGATCGTCGCTCAGAAACACCTAATGCACCTCAAGGTGATCCAGCAACTCTCCAAAGTGCCTCGCTCGATCGGCGTCCCACCACTCTCCGACGCCAATTTCGAGCAGGCCCTCACGACAAGTGCCAACAGCTACATGCAACAGCAAGGGCAATCCTCCAACCTCATCGAAGGCCCTTCAGGCTCTTCGTCCTCTGACCCCAACGCCGGAGGTGTCGTTTCCGCCCCGTCGCCGTTCAACTTCAACTTCAATTTCGGAGACGGCGAAGATGATGGCCGGATTAACCCGCTGGCCGGTATGGGTCTGACAGACGAGCAGTACAGCATGATCCTGCAGAACATCGTCAACGGGGACGGGTTCATGGGCATCCCGGACGACATCGCCAATGGTGGCAATCCGAGTGGAAGTGGGCTGGTCGAGGTGCCGGTTGGTGTGAGTGTTGGAGGGTCGGAGAAGCGTCCGCTGGACGACCCGAGCGAGGATGGGAGGGATGGGAAGAGGGGGCGATTCGAGGTCATCGAGTGACAAATATTGTTATGGTTTCTCTCCTCGTTTGTGATGGTTTCAATTTCTCGGACTCGTACGCTTCTCATCGTCATCTTCAACCTTCCACACTTCTAAAATGACGGCGCTTGCCGTCTGCATTTCATCATTACCCCCGCTCGCTCCTACTTACCTACAGGCCCTTCTACGGGTCCTCCTAGACATCCATCCCCTTGCTATGTTCACCTCTTTCATTATGTTAAGTCGCTATGTATCCATCTTCAAAAATGTCTTCACTCCGGTCGATATCTCATTTGCACACCTCTTTGTCGCAAATCATTCTGTATTTATAGTATCCTTCGTGGCAAGAAGCTAGATTCGATTCATGAAAGACTTTCATCCTACAGTATCAAATATATACCCCCTGCTTGATTACGATTCCCCTTACCATGATATTCGTACCTGCATCCAGGAATCTCCGTCTGCAGCTTGATCCTTCACCTTGTAACCACAGACCGGATCCTGTTTGTACTTGCGGCTTCACCTGCTGTCTATTTCGAGTGAAACTCCAAGCTCCAGTGTGGCGCAGTTCTAGACCTTGTCTCGAGCATTTTGGAGCTATCGGCATGCAGGCTTTCCTGGGCGTCAAGTTCCTCGGTCTAGGTCTCTTGCTTGATAACTGATAGACTACGACTGTCGAGACACTACCGACAAATTCGCATCTTTCAGGCTTTCGTCGAAGACACGCTCAAGTGGTGACAAAGACGCGATTTGAAACATTTGCGCATGGCCGTTCGCTCTCTGGAGTTCTATCAGATCGCCTCCCAGTGCACTTACCTCATCATTATTTGAGGGCATTTGTTTCTTTTCCTGAAGCCAACTACTGAACGCCAATTGGGTTTGGGCTTCGTTTCAACTCGACGTCACTTGACAAAAATCTCTACTGCTATTTGTCCTTCCATGTAACGGTCTAGATTCTACGATTCGCAGCTTCCTCTCCTATCTTTGACGAGCCGTAAAGCTCATTTCGCGACTTCTTCAAGGCCGTAAGCACGATAGATTGTGCCTCAGCCTGTTTCAGGCAAAACACCATTACAGTGGGGCTATACCGCCTAGACTCGAGACTCCAACTTCGACCTTCCGTCATCTTCCAATGCGCTGGCAGGCCAGACTTACAGAGCTTTGTACATCTCGTCACTATCCCCACTCTAGAGTTCCAGTGGTACATATATTTCTCCTTGGTTGTCGACCCACGGTAATTGGGTTTCTGCGGCCATACGTTCTCCACTGCGGTGTTCATCAGTTTCGTGAAGTTAGAAGGGGACATCAATCAGCGATGTTGTACCCGGCAGTTCCTATTTACAGTAAAACGCCGAGCACCGCGTGGCGCACTCGCTGTTCCAGACTCTTCTCGCAGTCATCTTCTCATATACAGTATGCCGTTGTTCGGGGTTTGTGCGTCTATGTCTGCCTTCGGGATCGTAGGTCTCGAGCGATCCTTGAACTTCATCTTGAGCGCAGCTTTTCGTCGACGATTTGTGTTTCCTTTGTGCTCAGTATATCTGTTGCAGGTGCGGCTGAGTCTTCCTCAGCCTCAAGGTTTCTCTCATTTCGCCGAGTCCTATCAAATCGCCTCTGTGGAACATCCTTACTCCTTTCTTCCTTTCTCCTGAAGATCTATTCTCTCGCTAAAGGCTTTCATTTGACTTTAGGCTTTGTCGTTCGAACGTCGCGGAAATTCCCCGTTGTTCTTCAACGTCCTCCCAGGCAGTCTAGACTCTTAATTGCTCAATTCTGAGGTCTGCTTAATCACCGTTTAGGTTTTTCGTTGCCTGATGGAGTGCTCATAAGTAACTTACGCGAGTGTCTCGCTTCGCCTGACACTCGAATCGAAGACGTTCACTTAATAATGCAGACTTGTAAATGGTTTCTCGTAAGTCTGCCCGATTTTACTATGTAGGGTGAACAAAAACGTGCCGACGGAGAGGTTTTACAGAAAGACGATACTCCTGGGAGAGTCCAGACGGTGTAATGATATTATTCCATCATGATGATTGTAGCTAATACCAGCTCCCCTTCGAAAGGCCCGGTGGATCCGTGGTAGACATATGCTTCCGTAAGTTTGGTCTTTGGCTTCCCAGTTTCCAAAGGGCTATCAGGTTCCCCCCGAGGCATTTGGCTACCATTTTGAGCAGAAAATTCTCGACCTTACGCTCAAGGTTCAAACGTTCACCAGGTTCAACAAAATGATCCAGAGTGCAGATCCCAGCTTCTGAGACCGTCTCTCCGTACGCCAATTAAATGCTTCCTGACAACCTTTTCCACACCTTTCGCCCCTCTTGCTCCCCTAACACGGTCTAGATCCACGGTCGGTCAGTACAGGGTTGAAGGTTCTGCTTCTGAACTTCGTTCTCGCACCTTTGGCCGGACCGTACTTACGATGGTACCTCGGTCTATTTCTGGAATTGACATCACCTGTTTTGAAATTATCGCCGTAGGCAGGTGCGTACTCGTATGTGCTTCCCCCTTCGACTCTTCGACCTTCCATCCTATCAGATCGACCTGTGGCATGCTTGCGGTTCATCCTTGTCCCTCTCTGCTTCATGAGGAATTATATCGCACGAGAGGAGTTCGTTTCTCCCACTGAAGGTTCAACCCCGCATTCAATTGACAGGACTGTAGTTCGAGCTTCGTCAACGGCACGCGTAGCGGTCTAGACCTTAGAGTCTATTTCCATATCCTCTTGCCCCTCAACTGCCAACCTGCGTCTTTACATCTGATCACACATCGTTCGGTCAGATTTCTCAAGTGCTACGTAGTTGGGAATAGGAATCGTCTCTTAATCAACGGTCGTACCGAGCTCCGAGCCTCAGAGGCACGTCACTGTATAGATGCTGGTCTAGACTCCATCATACCGTTATTATTGTTCGGCTTCGAGTGCCCGCTGAAGAGCGTAATTTCTCTTGGGAGAGCTCAAAGGGCGTTGTCTAGGCTCTTCTTTGGTGAGCATGGTTTTCCGTTTGTCGACGACTGTAGGGAGATCGTCATGTTTGAGGAGAGAAGTTAGTGAGGTCCATTGGGAATTGCGTTAAGTTTTCCTATCCGAATTTTCTGTGTTCCTATGGCCGTCTCGACCCGCCAGTTGTATGGCTTGATCAATCCAGGACGTGGTAAGAACTGTCACGACTCACTGATCCTGTTCGAGAATCAGGGCGATAATACCTCTGACGTCTCTCAGGAATTTCTGAAGCACTACAAATTGAGTGTACATAAAAGATCAGGAAGAGCGACGGTTCCAGACCCCTCGCCTTGTTAAGCGCTGGGGCGCGTGACGCGTGGCGATTCCGTAACATATTCACGTGACTGCATATAGTTGTGACCAGTGGCCGTGTCACCAGCATTTCTTCTTTCCTTGCAACATCCACCATGGCGCGCCCGCAGTCGTCGTTCCGATGTGCCCTTTGTCACGTCGATGCACCTATACAGCCAATTGACGTCTCTGGACAATCCTGTGGTTTCTCAGGCGGTCCACCTTGCCCTGCATGTAGCGAATTGAAAAATGTCGACGACAAAATCCACGACACGGTGGTTATTCTTCAAAAGCTACTCGAAAAGCAAAATGTACTCAAAGACAAGCGGAATCAGTACCACGACCGACTCACCAACCACCTCCCCCTCGAACTCGTCGTTCGCATGTTTGGGTTCGCGATAAAGCAGCTCCCGTTCTACGGTTATAAGGCTAGCATGAGCTTTCAGCACCATCAGATTCATATGTGGGATTCGTGTGGCCACACACCGTGGACGCTGTCGACAGTCTGCAAGACTTGGAAAGATATCATCTGGGCGACTCCGCAGCTCTGGACATCAGTTTCAATCAACACTGCGTATATACCGACGGAGTACATGACGTTCGCCAAGGAATGGCTTCGGCGTTCTGGCAGGCTGCCCATCAACCTCACTCTATACGAAGGCTGTTGGAACGACCGGAACTACATAGGTGAGGAGGCTAGTGTGGTGAAGGCTTTATTTGACATCGTCAATGCATCGTCGCCGCGTTGGAGGTCGTTGGCTGTGTCTGTTTCCGACCGTCATCTAAAATACCTTTCCGGAGACCCTGGCGGGATTTCGAGGTTGGAGGATCTACACTTCGAACAATACCCAGGGTTTCGCAACGAGATTCGGGAAACTTCAATTTTCTGCCCGCACAGCAAGCCTTCCCCGCAGAGGGTCTTCGCGGAGCGCGTCCACTTCAAGAGCATCGGGATTGTGTGGGACCATGTCACGCAGGTTGAATTATCTTCGTGTCCACCCGTCGACTGCTTGAAAGTCCTCTGCCACGCTCCCCAAACAACACACCTTACTCTCGGCTACCTTGATGATGATAACCCACAGGTGGCAGCGCCGACTACGGAGCCCCTCCTCTACAAGCAACTCCAATTTCTCAAGATCCGCTCGACTTGCAAGACTATTGGTTTCCTATTCGATAGTCTTACCCTGCCTTCCCTCCGCGAACTCTACATTTCAGGTCACCTCTCTCAAGCTGCCGCCCTTGTGGCGCGATCTGGTTGCCCCGTCACCCATCTGCATCTCGAGGAGCAATTTACGCATCAGCTCGACCCCGAGCATCATCTTCTCGACCTCCTCGAGCATCTTCCCTCCGTCACCGAGCTCGTTCTCGAAAAACCCCACCTGTCGGACACCTTTTTCGATCGACTTGGACCTTATGGTCTAATAGAGGGAGACCCAGAGCTCCTCCCAGGGCTCCGTTCGCTCAAGATTTCTCGGTGTGCCGTGTCCTTCCAGTGGCAGTCTGTTGCCCGGATGTTCGAACGCGACCCTGAAGCGCCTGAGGTGTGGCCGCGTCGGGCTCTGAGATCATTGGAGGTGACGGAACTTGAAGACATGAGGAGAGGGGATTATTACGGCTCCGAAAGGTCTGATTCTTGGTACGTCGAACAGCGCCGCCGGCGTCTTGAATCTCTCCAAATTCCAGAAGAGGTGGTACGAAGTCTTCTCGAGATCCACGAAAATGGTGTAGAGATGAGGATTACAGATGATCGTCGCAATGACCTGCTCCCCCTCTGGTATTGACGTACTTACGTGTCTTCAAGGAAATTAGCACTTCAATGATTCGATGGCGTGTTGCATATCGTGAAAAACATTTATCTTTGTATTTAGCATTGTATTCCGGCTCAACCTTGTGATCATGTACGCGTCCATCGCTATTTAATACTTAGAAAAAAAGACCTATAAGAAGTCCGTTGCATCGTCCCGCGAATATCTAGGGTAAATATAGGCACAAAGCCTCGAGGAAATAGAAAAACTACCGACACGGCTTCGTACAAGTCAGTCAGTGAATGCCTTGGCTTGGATGTCGTAGAGCTTCGCGTATTCGCCTTTCTTTTCCATTAGCTCCTGATGTGTCCCACTTTCCGCGATTAAGCCGTCCTTCATGCAGCTGGGCGTTCGTGGATAAGCGCCACGAAGCGGGACATTCATAGAATACTCAACGTACATGAGAAGGTCAGCGTGCTTGGTTAAATGGCCGAACCGATGGGTTACGAAGACCATTGTCTTCCCTTTCCGCACGTCGAGGAGTCGGTTGAATAGTTGCAGCTCGCCTTCTGCGTCGAGCGCTGAGCTAGGCTCGTCAACAGCGACGAACTTGACTCTGCCAGACTTGAATCGCATAAACGAGCGGGCACTTGAGCACGATGAGTAAAGCTAGACACATAAGACAGAAAGACTGCAACGTACGCCACGATCCTTTGTTTCTCCCCACCCGAAATGTCAATCTTCTTCTTCATCTTCTCCATCTCCTCATACAGAGGATGATCACGATTCCCGTGCAAGTTGTTATGGAAGTACGAATGATCCAAGTTCAGCGTGGTCTGCACCCCGTCCTTCAATTTACTCATGAACTCAGTCGCACCGCCGTCCCGGGCGGCCTCCTCAATGAGTGCCATATCGTGTGAGCGCTCTGGGTATCCCAGACCAATGTTCTCGGCCAAAGTGAGCGGGAAGATGTCGCTCTCTTGGCTGAGAATAGCTGTGGCACGATGTAGGTCCTCGACGTGGTAGTCTTTCGAGGGATGCCCGTCGATGAGGACTGAACCACTTGTCGGGTCGTACAGCCGTGAAAGGATGCGGATGAGGGTAGACTTGCCCGAGCCATTGGCGCCAACGATGATGACGAGCTGTCCAGCATTAATATCGAGAGAAATTCCATTCAAGGCCATGGTGGTCTTCTCGCTGCCTGGGTACGCGAACGTGATGTCTCTGGGAAACAGATCGAGGTTAGAAACAAAGACAACAAGTCTATGACACGCACTTCAGCTCGAACGACATTCCCTTCTCTCCGTTCCATTCTTTTTTGTCGTCAGTCTGAGGGTAAGGAAGGTGGCCATCCTTCATCAAATTCATGATCTCAGTCGCTTCATACATTCTCCTGATCGAGTGGACACCTCCACGGAAGTCCTCCGTGCTGGATAGGATAGTCTCTAACGAGTATCGAAGTGTGAGCGCCGAGTGCTGCAGAATTGATATTGAGGCCACAGAAAATGCCAAAGGTTTAAATATCATTGCAAGAGCACAGTACGCCTAGAGTAAAGATAAGAAGCGCGGTCTATTCGCGAGTAGGCAGCTACTTACCACTGGCAGCTCCCCTAGCACCTTGGCGAAGACGTCGTATATAGGTGTTTCCCGTCGAGAGTAGGCGCTATAGAAACTTTCGTCACTGATTCCGGTCAATGCCTTGCGTGCCTTTTGGTATTCTGTAGAATGTGCTGGTCAGTCCCTCACCTTCCTTCAAACTGATCCTATGATTAATATTATTGAGTACCTTGGATGATCCAAGCGCCAAGGTTATGACTGATAATGTCCTGGCGGAAGCCCCCATTCGCGAGTTTCTCCAAAGACATCATACGACGATAGTCCTCATTACTTGCAAACCCAAAGCAGACTGGCGGAGAAAATGTGATAAGCAGATATGAACACAACAGATCTCATTATTTTACCTTTATCCCACCAAGCGCGGAAAGTCATCGCTGAAAAGATAGGCTTGATGATGCACAGAAGAGCGAACAATGGACCGCCTGACTTGCGCGACAAATGCACGATGAGTGCCAGTTGGCTCACAGTTTTGAACAACTCCGTGAAGAAGGATATCACGTCCGCGAAAGCTCTCCACGCCTGGAAGGCTGAGACATCCGACGAGCTTGACGCCTCTGAACAGGAAAGCCTTGAGTGGACGGTAATCAAAAACAACAACTGACTAACCTTGCGAGGTGGGTAAATCTTTGCCGAGCTTAGCTGGAGAATGGGTTCAATGGAGAGGTTCAATTGTAGAAATGAGCGAAACATCCTACCTTTCATAAGATGCAATTCGAAATGGCGACTGACTTCGGTTTCGAGTTTCTGAAGCGCTCGCTGACTGCAGAGAGACATGATGAGCGATCCAGAAGTACTATAAGATGTGATCAATGAGAGGGATGCACCTATGCCAGCTCATATACGAAACCACTGCGGAACAGACGAGTTGTAGCATTACAGAAGTAACGATACCCCGAACGTCGGGAACTCCTGAGATAACTCCTGCTTCGATCTTATCCAGGAGGTGAGCGAAATCCAAAGACGAAGGAGAGTCCAAAAGGATTACCTTCCGCAGTAGCGAACTCGAGAGGTGCATAACCAAGGCCTCCTCAATCCCATCCCAAAGTTTACACGCAAGAAACACCATGAACAACGTAGGCGAGATGCTGTAGATGTCCGCGAACAGCCGTACAAAGAGCGGGTACGCCATCTTGATTTCGCTACGATACACTTCGAACGCAGACTTGGCTGAGCTCGCGACCTTGAACGTCCATACGCCGAACTGCATCTCTTCGATGATAACATCACCTCGTTTCTTTGTCTTCTCCTTCTCCTTCTCGGTCGGCACATTCCAGGCCTTCTCCGAGGCTGCACTAGCCGTTCCGTTTTGTGTCATCGAACTTCAAAACCGAGCAGAAATCGGAGCGGAGAGACAGATTTGAGGGAGAGGGGCAGGGGGAAGAGTTAGAAGCGAAGAAGGGAGGAGAATATACAGCATGCTAATATACTCGTCGTCGGAGACCACATGCCCGGCATCGCCCCGACGAGCCATACCCCGAGTCGACGCGAAGCGGGCACGATGCAGAAAAAATGCCTCAACGTGACGGCCGGGCGCTGAGAATGACGCCCAGTCGGGGGGGAAGCGATGTCAGGCGGTGTTCCAAAAATGTGACTCATAGGGCACAGGGCAGCGAAAGGACGACAATGCGGCGGATTTGCAGTCATGGTCAGGCGCCGAGTCCGAACTCTTAGGGCGGGAGATGTCATCAAGAAGCTGGGCTGCATAATAGATGTCATAACTGGGGATTCGATTGATGGATTATGCTGTGCAGTTATCCTCGATGGTATCTTCAACCTCCCGCGGGCGCCTAGATATTAGCACTGGGCTGTACGCATCTTCAGGTTACTCGCCGAGTAGGTTCCAAATGACTCTAAGACCGCAATTTCTGTTAGTCAAAGCACAGAACACGGAAAGGCCGTCAACCGAACGCACGGCGAAAACTCAACTCCTTTCCTCCATCGACCCTTGAGAAAGTACCTAAATTCCAAGAGAGGATATAGGCAGTAGCTGCGCTACTGTTGCAGGACCGATAACACAGAAGTCAGAATTCGCATTCTCACAAAGGCATTACAACTATCAGGGCACCTTTACTGCTCATCGTGGTCGTCATTATCATCATCATCCTGCTCGCCCTTTCTTCTCCGTTTGGCCGCATTTTTCGTCTTCACTTTCTTCGGTTTTGCACAGGCTTCTGCAAGCTTGACAGCTGCCCTCACTTCCTCGACGAGCGCCTCATGCTGCGGGCGCTGGCTTTCGGCTGACAGTAGCGCCTGCTCCGAGTCATCCGTGAAATTTGCATCCGACTTTGACGGCGCCGCCGACTCTGCGCTCCCCGAGCAAGCGCCGGCCAGGCGACCCAAGACATTGATCTCCACGCCCCAAACCTCTTTAGCCTTCTCGAAGCTTGGCGTCTCTAGGATGAGCGGGATGTTTTGTGTACGAGGGTCGCGCACGACGTGTTTGAAAGCTTGGAGTGTTAGGTGACCTCTAAAGAAGGAAAGATATGTCAGTCACTAGGGTGCGACGAGGCGGAAGGAACGACGAGGAAGATACGCACAATCCAATGTTCTCGTGTCGATCCCTATGCGACCCATGCTCTGTCTTAGAGTCGTTGATGTGCATTCCGCGGAGATATTGAAGGCCGATCTTTTCCTCGAATTCGGCCACTACCATGATCGTTCAAGGGGGTTCAAGGAGATCATGCGAGATGAAGCCTACTTGTCTTGCTGAAGAAGGTAAGTCAACAACTGTAAGTGCAAAGCCGCGAACGAAAACGCACCCCCAGCCCTCTTTCGTCCTAATATCATAACCCTATGAAACAGAACATTGAATACGCTAGTTAGAGAAATACCAGGAAGTCAGTCTAAGCTTGGACTTACAGCAGCGAACGCGTGACCTGATCGGGAAGAGTATGGTCAATACGTAGAATAAAATAGGAGGACGGGTACGAACATGTATCCATGCACACTCCAACGCGGCTCTTGTCTTCAACCTTCTCAATTATGCTTCCGAGATGGGCAAATTCGCCGCCAATGATATTGCCCGCGCCGGCCTGAAGATGGTTAGACATTAGACAAGAGCAAAGAAGAGTGGCTCACCTACCATATTCTCTAGGACGATAGTCACGCCTTTCGTCTCCGTGTGAGCGCGGTTGATGCAATCGGCGATGTGAGTAATAGACTCTTCGAGGGTAGCTGCTCCTACAGTCGAACCAGGGCTGTGCATTGGTATCATAAGACGAAAGTTCATCTCATATAGCTCGACACGTACTGAAAGTTGTACAACTCAAGACCCAGAGCTTCGCATCTCTTGACGTCGTCGAGGAAGCATGAGAAGGATTTCTCCCGTTTTTCTCTCAAGAAAGCTAACTTCAGTAATCTAGGGCCAGAAACGAGGACGGAAATGAGTCAGAACTCACAGGTCCGGGTTGCCTAGGTTGATGAGGTAGCTTCCGTGAGGCAACACCAAGTTGCTCGTATAACCGTACTCCTTCATTCGTCGTTTGAATTCGGATATCGAACTTTCCGAGAGTGGCGGCGATGTCCATTTCCGTTGAGATTTGAGGAAGAGTGCAAAAGAATTGGCACTATTATGTCCAGTCATCAGTGGATCGAGTACGGCTGGAGGAACAGGTCGACGTACCCTGTCATCGCCGCGTTGACTACCGCGTTCTCGACTCCTCCGGCAGACGAAACGTGTGCTCCAATCTTCCATGGCGTTTCTAGTCGTTCAAGAAACTCGCTCTTGTCTGTTTCTGCAGCCTTGGCTTTCGTCTTCCGTGTCTTGCTCGTGCTCGTCGGAACATCTCCAGGTTCTTTGTTGCCCATAGCGTCCAGCCCGGCTAAAAATCGTTCATGAGAACGAAATCACATGAATAAAAGATGACACAAAAATCAACTTGCCAGAAGCCTTTCCGAGATGCATCTCACTTCCTTTATTAGCCAGTCTCGCTTTCTTTCTTGGAGGTGAGCTGGAGATCCTTTCATCAGCTCCGGCAGCCGAACGGGTCACCCGACGCGTCGTTTCCATGATAGAGAACGTGAATCGAGGGACGTTGGGCGTTGAAAATGCGTAACTTAGGTGTAAAGATGCTGGAAAAGCTCGAAGCATGGGAGTGTCTGAAGACAAGTGGACGCCGTGTTTGGTGACTTCCATATGTGGCGCCAGCAGCCAAACATGCCTCGCTTTCCGTTGTCCTCCTCGAACTCTTTTTCAACTCTTGTTCGCGATGCGACAGAATGTCATTTGTTAGGAGCACTAAATGTTCAACTTCATGAAGAACTCTCTTGGGGAAACCCCCGAAGTCCCATCACGGAAGAATCATGTAGTCAGTGAGGCCTCCAGCTCTTCACTGATTGCTGCCTCCGATAGGCTTTAGGCACGGCTGCCAGACGACACCCTATCCACAATCTCCCGCTCGAGATACTAGGGGAGATTTTTCTTTGCTGCCTGCCGTGCAGTATATCAGAAGAAAGTCAGCCAAATTGCGAGATCGCGCCGATCCTCCTGTGCCACATCAACTCAACATGGCGAAGAATCGCCTTGCATTTTCCCAAGTTGTGGGAGCACCTTTGCCTCAAACGCTCGTTTACATTTACTCGTCCGATAATCATTACTGGATAGGGGGAACCCTGGAGAGCATCGTCGCAAGCCATGATGGATACGTCTCTCCCGGTATTCTCGCTTTCCTCAATTGGTGGAGGAGCAACGCGTGTTCCTTCCCAATCTCTCTCTATCTCGACGGTTTAACCATAAGACATGCGGATCGCCACTTCCGAGATGGCGAATTCGATCGCGGATACCGGCCACCTGCAGACGCTGTCAAGGTCAGCGAGTTTTGCACTGAGGCCCTGCCCTCGGTCAGACATCTAGAATTAGGGATCAATCGAGAAGCCCTTCATGCGCTCTGTTCGTCGGCGACACCAACCACATTCGAACGGTTGGAATCTCTCGTCCTCCGTCAGTATTTCTCTCGAGGGGCCATGTCCCCGAGAGCGTTCACGCTTACCTTCCCGGCTGCCCCACACTTGCGTCGGCTCCACATCTCCAACTACCGCTGCACTCTATCGTTCCGATGGGAGCAGCTTACCCATCTTTGTGTATCAGCTACGATTAGGGAAGGCTCGTTGATCCAGATAATCAAGAACTGCACCAACCTGCTATCAGGCGCTTTCGATGTCTGCCCTGACCAGGGGCAAGCGGTCTTGCCATCAATTCAACATCCCAAGCTTTGTCAGCTCATAATCATCCCCTCTTCCTCCACTTTGACCGGATCTCCTTCCCCAATCTCAAGGCCCTCCACCTCATACGAAACTTCAAGGAGGAATCCTTCGCGTCACTCTCTCAATTTTTGACACTCACGCCAGCCTTGACCGAGCTTCACATCGACGCAGCGATCTTCCAATCCACCACCTTTTCGTCCGAATATCTCCCAGAGACCTGTCCACTGCATGCTCTCCTACCAGATCTTGAGCGACTCGTATTCGACAAGGTCGTGTGCCACGCGAACCCAGGGCGCGCCTTCATCCGCCTCGTCGAATCTGGATGGACTAAACTCGAACCCAGGAACGGTCGGCTCGGTAGCGTCCACTTCAGACTCGAGCCTGGGCGTGCTGAAACACGGGAATATATTCGGGTAACTCCAGAAGATATAGCTTCAATGAAGGAGAGCGATGTCGTTCTCGCCATTGAAGAATATCACCGTAGATGGGGCAAGGGCTATAATTATTATTTGCATTATCCGATGGTAGGCGATAGAGTGGACGCTTGGTACAGACCTTTTCATGTTGCGAAAGACCTACAGAGATGGGACGCTGTTCTAGGTTTTTACGAGAAATGCACTTAGGCACGTATTATGACTTTTCCACTTAGAAAATCGAGTAAGATATTGGGGGTCGCTAGAAAGTATTTCGTCGATGTCTGAACTGCACTGAAACACCTGTACCTGAGTGAACTCCATCTCGACGCAGAGATATTTGACAACCCCGTGAGTTGCTGGATCAACTACCAGATCTCGAGCGCCTCACCTTTGAGCTGATGTGATGTCCATCTGGCATAAATGCTGGGTGCAATTGTTCGTCTCATCAAATCCGGCTGGACCAAATTAGCGCCGAGGAATGACCACCCAACATGCCCCTAAATTACCTTTGCGCTCGAACGTGGTTTTTCTTACAAAAGGTACTATCACATTGTTAGGGAAATTGAATCTTATAAAGAACAGTGCCTTCGTCCGTGAAATCGACAAGCCTCGTTACAAGGAGGCTATGGCGCCCATATGGAAATTCCGTCGGTAGGTGACAGATCATAGAGGGATGGTGCGGATATTTTCAGGGAATTAGGAGATTTGCGGCGGTGGGATGAAATCGTTGGCTTTCACAATCGCATCCCAGTCGCAAATTCGTAGAATCCTCAATCCTTCGCAAACCACACTTCTGCGTTCTCCTTCCCGGTCCCGCTGAGGGTCCTCGGCTCAGGCCCCTCACTAGTCCAAAACCCGCCTTTGAATGCCAGTCCCTCCTCTTCTCCCTCTGAACCACCGACCCACTCTACCTCGAAATGCTTATCCAGTCCAAGCAGCACGTCGCCTCCCTTCTCGTTACTATACCCCTCCTTTTCCCTCACCTCGGCGTTCGACCAGAGGATCGTGACGTTGAAGGTGTTCGCGTCGAAGTGCGCTAGGCGGAGGTGTGTCGAGAAAGAACGCTTCCACGGGATGATGTACGTTGGGATGGAGAGATTCGACGCGGAGAGGATACGCTTGACGGTATGCGAGGTGAGGAGGGCTGCGCAGTCTTCGTGGGACCGGTGGCCTGTGAGTTGAGAGAACGATAATGTCTCGGGGACAACACAGGGTTGAAGCGTGCCGTAGGTCCCGTGGCTGAAGGATTTTTCCGCGAGTGAGGTGAAAGAATTTGTGGGTGGAATAGGCGAGGAAGGTCGTGGAGTGACTTGCTGTTGAAGAGAAGCAGAGTAATTGTAGTACGCTTCCATTCTATTAGGTCTTATTAGCAATTCAAGACGCATAGATAAATGAAGGGGTCGTGCCTCTCATCCCAATCAATCTGCGTAAGCCCCAGAATTTCATCCGCAAGACGGTATTCGTTGGCCTCCATGAGGAAGGCACCGTTCGCGTCGTTTGAGAGTACGATGACCCCGAGATTGTCATTAGGAAAACGAGCGACTTGCGTCTTGAATCCCGGATTGTCGCCACCGTGCTGGATGAGGTCGTGGCCTTGGTACGAGAACCTCCATTGGCCGGCACCGTATACCCGTACGCTCTGTCGAAGTTTTTTCAGTTCCAAATGAAGCTCGGTGTGGTTACGACCAAGGTTTGACTTACGACTTCCGGGAAATCAGGAGCTGGGTGGGTCACTGTTCGACCAGCTGCAACGTAGTCGATAATCTCTTCTGAGACGATTACTTTATTTGTGTAAGGGTGGCGGCCTTTGTTCAGCAGCATGGAAACCCAAACGGCCTACGAAATGATATATCAGCGGCGATTAAGGGCGGCGAAACTCAAGAAGACGCCTACAAGGTCGCGTGCAGACGATAGGATTCCTGCAGGACCAGCCCAAGTGCGTTCTTCGCCAGGACGCTGGAAATATGGGACAGTTGCACGTAGCGTCCCGTTTTCACCCTTCGTGAGATCCCTCATGTCCCACTGGAAACCGTCAGCAAGCGTGCCTCTCTTCTCTGCCTCGGCAACGGAGAAAGTCGTTGCGGTCATGTTCAGAGGCGCGAACAAATGCTGTTCGACGTAGGACTCGTACGTCTGGTTGAGGAGAGCCTGTGGGAGGTATGAGAGGGCTTCATACATTAGATCGCTGTACTGGAATGTCTCTCGAAACTCAGCCGCTGGTCGCAGGTGTCGAAGGGTAGAGACCTTCGGATGTCATCGCTTTTGGCAAAAAGAAAGATTCAAACAAACTCACCACTTCGGGAACTCCACCAGGCCGCTGGATACCAGAAAAATGATGAGCCGGTACACCAGTTCGGTGTGAGAGCAGGTCCTGCAGCGTTGATTCACGACTCGCAACCTCGTCCAGGAGAGCCCATTCCGGAAGCAAATCTCGTATCTTTGTTGTCCAGCTGAGCCCCTGGCCGCGCTCCTTCGCCAGTGTTTCGTTCGTTATGAGTAACCCGACCGAAAGCGAGAGGAAGAGCTTGCTGTTTGACGCGATTGCAAAGACAGAGTCAGGGGTTACGAGAGAACCATCACCCTTCGCGATCCCATATGAACCAAACTCGTGGCGCCATCCGCTGGGAAGGCTGTCGTCTTTCCGAACGACAGCGAGCGAGAGTCCCGAAGAGTTCCACTTCGTTAAGAGTCTCCTGGTGTACTTGTGGATCCGAGGAGAAATCAGAGGTCCATTTCGCGCGACGAGAGGTACGTGGCAGCGGGTTTCCGTCAACGTAGCCTCCAAAATAGACCCATGGGCAGCGGGGAGGAATAACAATGTGAGGAGGAGTAGGAAGTTCATCGACATCATTGGAAGGCACTCCGATTCACCCATGCATCCGGTTAAAATCATTCCGCTGCCAAGGCGAGTGCTTTCTCGAGCGAACTGGTACGTTCAAATTCTCCGAAGAATACCCGTTACACATGTAGCCCATAAGGCTAGATCCTGCATACAGGCGCCTACAAGTGCCCCCCCCCCTGAAATAAACCGGATCTTACAAAGACCTTCAAATATATCCTCCCATCCTTGAATTCCTGACCTGCCCGATCGGCATCAATGCCGGCAAGATAGAGGAAAAACATACATGGACGAAGACGAGTGCATTTTATTATCGGTCCTTCAACAAATCCCGTGATAATGAAGGCACTCTTGGTGCACGTTCTTCCATCCGGCATTTCGAGATGGCCGTCAACCGGGACGCCATAGAAGCCCTCTGCGAGGCATTTTCTCGCCTTCATTTTTGTCTTGTGCTTGATAACTGCCTGCTGTTGGCGACAGAAGGCGGTATTATTATTGGGATTTCAAGGCGTTTTGAGGATAGAGTGCACTATCCGAACGATAGCTGGTCACTTTAGCCGTATGCTATTCCTATAATTTGGCCGCTGGACGCGAGACAGTTATGTATTATTCAGAGATATTATCTAAGGAAGTAATTGATTTTCACACACTCTCCCCGTGGTGGAGGAAGGAAGTCAACTAGCCAAAAGCGGCATTGTGTGGCGCATTACCTACTATTCACGCGTGACAAGACCGACCTTATTTCCGATTCTTCCCATGAAACGGGGGGTGCGGAATGGTTTTCGTCTGCATAGATGTCGGAACTTTCGACCAAGCTTCGACTTGAGCACCTGCCCCTTTTCAATACTTGGTTGACTACGGCCGCGAATGTGCCGGACCATGGCAATGTAAATTTCTGTGCAAAATTTACTTTCCGTAGCTTCGCTCGAGCGCTCCTGGTGCCCCCTTGATAACCTCGGCAACCAAGTAGCTATGGGGTCTTCGCCACTGGGCGGATGCTCACTAGTCAGGCAACGCGATTCAAGTCGCGATTCCACAGGTACCTTGTCAGCCGCGATCTCACTAGGAACCTTGAGCTGCACTTCCGGTCCGACTTAAGTAAGTAATGGGGCCTTGTCAGCGAGATCTTCAACACATCCTCCGTTAGAATTTATGACGCAATCGAGAGCTTTAATCCTCGAAGTAGCCGATTTATCCAAGGTTGTACTATGCGGAGGAAGCACACCCATGGATCGACGCAGTGTGGGTATTCCGGAATGCTTCTGTCGCACTTCATTCGTGGACGACCATACAGAGAGAATGTTGGCAACTTAAAGATCCCTCGTGGCAGATCTGTGGATAGACATGAGGGGTAACCATAGGATTCGCACTAACGCTCATCCACGCTCCACGAGTGCCGTATTATTAGCACTCTATTCACTAGTGGACTCTACCAGGTTTGTTTCATTAGCCGAAGTTCATTAATTATGAACGCGGGACATAGCACGAGATTTGCTCGAGGGCGTACCTAGTACCACGCTGACTTGTTGGACCCACATCTGCTCCGGGGTCAAGTTAGCACCAGAACCCAGGAATCCACGGTGATATTTTGCGTTTAATTTCCTCCTCTATCTTATGTTCTAGTTCTTCAAAAAATATCATTCTTCCCTCATCAAAGAGGTTCCAGCAGCACTCTGCTTTCCGGGAAGCACCCTTCGACCTATGAAGACTGCAATCTACCTTCAAGCTAGTCAACTCTAAGGCTCTTGGTGAAGGACATGATCAGAGGCACGCTCATGGGGATCCGGGCTCGTGGGGGTTATTGACGTTAACGTTTCTCGGGTATGAGGAGTTCCTCCCTCGGTCATGGTCAGTCAACCTCTTCTGGGACTTTGGCCGGCTCGACGTCGATGGTTGAACGGGGATTGGGGTTATGAATATTTAGCTACCAACGGTTAGCTAAGTGACCATTGGCAAGAAATGAGCAGGCTGGGTGGACATTGAGCTCGTCACGAGTCTCTTCTTGATTCCCCAGCTTCATTCAAGACTCTTTAAAAGCATTCAGCGCTCGGCGCCGCGTCGCCTGACCTTCGTCATCATACACGGGTGCACAAGATAAATGATGAAGAACGATCAAATTGTCCCGTTTCGACTCGTTGTATGTATGAACTATGAGCCTTGAGGAACATAACCAGGCTCTAAATGTAACCCAGAAGGCCGCTGTGGGGCCAGGGATCAGCAAAGTGGAGCAGGACTTGCCAAAATACGGGGATTGGGTGTGGGTCTGTCTCTAGTTGAAGTTCGAGCCGCAGTTCCAGCTTCCAGGGCCAGAAATGGACACCTCGAATCAATCTACGCTATGGGTTGATCTCACGAACTCCTGACTTCAAGACTTCGAAGCCGACCGTATTGTATAGTCAGAGGAAGCTCCGAACTTCGAAATCATCAAGTAAGAACCGACAAAAGATAAACCCGGTTATTTACAGCATTTCCCCAAGGGTCAAAGACATGCCAGGAAAGTGGTTTCTCAACGATGAGAAAACCCTAGATCCCCGTTCAGAAAGGGACTGTTAGAGTGTCTAAATAGCCGACCAGGATCTTGAGAAGATGATTTCAACACAGCACGTAGCCGACTCCGAATTAAACCCAAGGTGAGCTCATAGATTCTTAGCGACTCGAATTCGAAGCGATTTACGCGTCTGATAGATGGGCATATTCTCTTCTCAGTTCGCATAGCAGTCAGTTCTGGGGTGGATAAGATACCGAGCCTGGGAGAGCGAAGCGAGAAGTCATAGTTGTAGATCACATCAAGGTGTCCAGTCAATGGATGTGGCTCAGGCTAGTGCGAACTTGGGTGCTCTTTCATGAGACACACCCGGGAGAGGGGGTCGTCAGGACGATTGCTCATTGCTCAAGCCTGGAAGGGTGTTTACATGAGATGTAGGGATTACACGAATGTAGAAGCCACGGAACTCCATATCATAGTAGTCTAGTAGTCGCAATTTTCACAGCAGCCAGGTTCCAACCACAATCTCTGAGACTCCCGTAAACGGGAACTAGAGTAGCCCATACCGAATACGCGAAGCTAGCAAACGCGTCGAGCTCAGTGCCAGAGCTGTAAAGGTACATAGATGTTGGAAGCCCGAAGGACGGGTGTATCACTGATCCTTCCCAGGGATGACTGATGCATCAGCCGTTCGTAATTGAATTTCCTAGCCAAGTTCAAACCATAACGCCAGCGTCAACGAAAGCAGATGATCGAGGGAATGATGAAGTCGCTTTGGACGGAAGGGGAAGCGAATCAGAGAAATGTGGATACGGTGGTAGAAAGCGTGGAACAGCAGAATCGCCCACGAATGGGAGTGCAGGGATTACGGCAATGATAACGGAGCGTTGAATAAGAGTTCGAAACTATTGCTCTTGGATAATTGATACGTTGTCGAAGTTGGCGTTCCTTTGGCAGGTTGGGACGAGAGAAAGTCTCATCGCTCGTCGGGGTCCAGCAGCATCAGAATCATGCAGTGAGGATGACTTGAACACGACCAAGTCAAGGAGTGTCCCGCCATAACTGAGTCGAGACGAAACACTGGAAGGATAACTTGTCCTTAAGTCCTCCGTCCTTCGCGGGAGGAGAAAAGCATTGCCTCGAGTTGATGTGATGGCTCTGGTGGCAAGTCCGGGTCGGCAGGAGCGGCGTCGGGAAAGTTGAGATCGAAAGGAGGTCACGAAGGGAACAAGAGAAACCCCTGAAGACAAGGAAGACCGGCAAGCAAAGTTGAGTTCAGAAGTTGGATAGGTTTGCATGGGCGCCGGGTGTCGGTCGGGCTTCTTGAAGTTGTTCGTGCAGCAGGTTTACTGGGGGGACAAGAAAAAGGGAACAAGAACAGGAGAGGAAGAGACCCAAACAACTAAGATGGACCAGGGGTGAACGTAAACCTGGAAACATGAGGTCTCCAGGTGGCTATAGGTTAAAGGGTTTTGAAGCCTGCAAACACTTCATCAACTGAGCACCCAACCTAATAGAATAGGACGCACCCACGTCACCCACTAGTTTGGCGGTGACCTCTTTCCTTCCTGCTTCCTGCTCCTGTCCTTATGTATGTTGTCCTTCCTTCGAAGTTCATCGATGTCACATTCCCAATTTCCGCGCGAGCACCACGTTTTGATCCACGGCTACGCCACCATCATCACCGTACAATCTCGAATTCGCAGGTTCGACTCTATTTCCTTCGCGGCCGTCAGCGGTGGTAAAAATTTCGAGTAAGAGGCGGGCATGGGTGTCCCAAGATCGGGGTTGAGTAAAGAGGCATAAGGCGGGATGAATGGATTTACCGATGTGCTTTTTCTCGTGCGCCGTAATGGTATTTGTCAGTTGTACGAGATGTCTTGGGTCGTTAGAACCAGAGTTTGAGTTTGAGTTGGAGATGGAATGGATGGAAGGACTTCGGAAGGACTGGAGGAGTTAGATGTCATCATTCTGGGAGACGCTGGTCAAGACCTCTTCGCCGAGAGCGGCGCCAAACGGCGCTTAGACGAGGAAAGCATGTTTCTAATAAATCACGTTGATAGGCATTCGAAGGATCGGCGGTCGTGCTTCGAGAATCCTCTTGCGCTCATCTCGTCGTTGAAGAGGACGTGTCGCGTGACGCGTTCTACAAGCCGTCGACGTTTGGTAGGAAATTTCCTACACGCCCGCTGTGAGAATCTGTCTTCAATATGTGAAGAAGTGAAGCAGAGTAAAGTAAGCGGAGGTCTAAAGACAACCACTGCAGAAGACAACGTGTACTAATTGAAGCATGTCGTGACGATTCGCGTAGCATATTTTCCCACGGCTCTTTACACCATCCACCTCAAGACCTCATTTCACGTATCGATCGAATCAAACACAGCATATCTGAAAAGTACCCTCGCATGAGTGGCATTATTTCCAATACTAAGGCGATCCCATCTGACAATGCACCAGAAGGCTGCGATGGCGTCTATCCACAATCTGCCTACCGAGATCTTAGGGGAAATGTTCCTACGTTGTTTACCGGAGAGTCCCAGAGACGAAAGCCAACCTAATACCAAGATCGCCCCGATCCTCCTTTGCCACGTATGTTCAGTATGGCGAACCACCGCCCTTCGTCTCCCAAAACTCTGGGCTCGCCTCTGTATGAGGTCAACGTTCAAAGTCTTTTATCCTGTCTATACCCATTGGAAGGGAGGGGGCTATAGCCACTTGAAATACCCTATCTACGAAGAGCTGCCCATGCATCCATGCACCCTCGAATTCCTGACATGGTGGAAGGACAACGCACGTTCAGTTCCGATTGACCTCTATCTCGACAAAATCAAGGAAGAGCACCTAGAGTATGACGTGGAAGAAGATGGGACAATCCTGGATGGAACCCCTCCAGGGCCCGAGGCCATGAATGCCCTCGAATTCGCCCTGGCTGGGCTCCCTTCCGTCAGGCATTTCGAGATGGCCATCAATCGACACGCAATGGAGGTACTCTGCAAGGCGGCGACGCCAACAACTTTTGGGCGCCTCGAATCACTCACCGTGAACCAGTACTTCCATATCGGAATTAGGTCCAGGACGAAGTTCGTTTTTGCCTTCCCTCCCGCCCCTCGTCTCCGTCGGCTCGCGCTCACGAGCTACGTTAACACGATCTCGTTTTGCTGGACCCAGCTGACCCATCTATGCGTCTCGTGTGCGATCAAACAGGACGATTGGTTTGAGGTGTTGACAAACTGTAAAAACCTCTTATCCGGCGTTTTTAACCTGTCCGAGGACGAGTCAGAGGAGAGCAACCTTCCACCGATAGTACATCCAAACCTTCGCCAACTTTTCGTCATTGGGGCAACGTTCCGCTCCGTCTCATTCCCGGGATTGAAGGCCCTCCGGATATTGCCGAACCGAACAATCGACACCTTGGAAAAGCTTGCCGAAATCCTTCGGAAGACTCCAGCCCTCACCGAACTCCATTTCGACTCAAGAGGATTCAGCTTCTATCAATTTTTTTCCGGTGCGACACCTGAAGAGTCGTGTTGGTTGCGGAATGTACTACCAGACCTCAATCTTCTCTCCTTCGAATTTACACATTGCAGTGCCAATTCGAATGGGAGGGTAATTGCGGAAGTCCTAAAATCGGAATGGGTGAAAATACTGCCTCGGAACGGACAACCTTCCCTCTTGCGTATCTCATTCGAATCCAACAATATGAAGGGCTATCTGGAAGGACTTCGGGTCGTTATTACGACAGAAGAACTCGATAGCATGAAGAGGAGTGATATTGTCCGAGCAATAGAGGAATTTCACTCGACAAGCGACGGAACCACGAACATTGAGTTACGATTTCCGGCTGTGGGGGACGAAAAGAGAAGTTTTTACAGCTATTTATACGACGCGGAAGACCTACCGCGGTGGGACGAGGTTATGGGTTTTCGTGAGCTTTGATTTCCTAAATGCCGTTCACTCTTCTCTTGCCTCTTCTCTTGCATTTTAGTTACACATGTAGGCAGAATTGACAACATATATAATACCCCAAACTTATGGAAGACAAGATTCACGACGGCCGAGAGGAAAGCCAGGCGCCTGGGGCCACCATAAACGGGAACTAACCTGAGCTCGAATACACGAAGTTTGTGAAGGAACCCGTCGAGCTCAGTACCGGAGCCGCACTGGACAGTAGAAGGAGGGTATCACTGATCCTTCACAAGGATGATTGATGCATCACCAGTGCGCAACTGAAACCTCCCGGACGAGGTCAACCCGTGATTACACTAGGGATAATTATGCACGAAATAGGAGTCGTCGTTCGTATCCCGGTTGGTAGAGTACAGTAGTAAGGGCGTCGATAGAGCTGATGGGCAGTGAGCGGGTCGAGATGGGTGGTAGTTGCATAGCTCGTCGCGGTCTAGGAGCGGCAGCAAATCATCAGACTCCAGAACAACAATAAAGTCGGAGAGCTCGCCGCCGTCACCAAGTCCTGCCATAACGAAACGGAATTCCAGGTCTCGACTCTTCACCTTCGCGGGAGGAGAAAGGAAACAATAAACTTCCCTGTGCCGCCTTAAGTTGATCTTAAGTTTCAAGAGTCACGATCTCAACGAAACGGACATATAGACAAGGCGAACAGAGCGTAGGGATCATTACGTGAAACAATCGCCCAGTGCTGGATGGATGGGGAAATGCGAGCCGCCACGAGACCGGGCATGATGACGGCGGTGAAGGGCGCAGGGGATCCAGGCGGCACGACGCAGGCGTGCGTAGGCCGGCGGTAGGATACCAGAATCCCGGGGAAATGATTATGCTTCATGAAAAAACTAGAATAAAGTCGAAAGGGGGTGAAGAAGGAAGGTATTGCCCTAGCGAAGCCGCAGTATATCATGCGAAGCAGCCGTAGATGAAATAGGGAAGATCGGCAAGCAAAGTGGAGTCGCGACTCTTCGCGAACGTTGAATAAGTTGTGAGGTAAGATGTTGGGTAAGGTCGGGAGTTGAGTACAATGGCACGGCCGCCGTAGGGGAAGGTACGGTTTCAAAAGCCGGGGACTAGCTTCGCGCACCAGGTTCGTGGGGAGAGGTGAGGAAAGGATGACGAGAAAGGCGACACGGTGGCGAGAGGAAGAGGACCCTTTGACGAGAGAAAACGAGGGGGAACGTAAACTTGGAAACAAATCGCGGATTTGAAACCAACGAGCGAAGGGTGCTGGAGACGAGACGGGTATACGGTCGATTTTCTGAAAACCGATACTACGAGTAAGAGAGTGGGAAGAGCGGGCATCTGCGGGAAAGACAAGAGAAGAAGACTTAACGAGAGCGAACGTAAACCTGGAAACAAATTGGACTCTTCGACGTTCTTTGGGTAAACGATTTAAAGACTACTCGCAAAAGTAAATCAATATCGGCGTTCATGAAGCGGTATACACGTTGGTGACCGATCGTTGAACGAACTTACGAGTAATAGAGATAGCGAAGAGGCGACACATACGCGCAAACTTGACGTCTTCCAGCTCGATCAGGACACCTATCTCCCCCTTTCCCCCTCTATTCTGTCCTATAGAGTAAATACCTCTTGAATTCCCCTTCCGTCCAATTCCACTCCAAATACCAATTCGCAATTCCCCTCGTACGCGCAGCACGTTTTCTCCTCATCGATCGACTTACTTTTTGCCTCCGTGACTGAACGGCACGTAACCAACAACGGCAAAAGCCCGTTCGTCGGCCTCGTCGTTCATCGGTGACGGTATACACAGTTGATGTAACGGTCAAGGTAAAATTTACGGGTAAGAGAGGCGGGTCTGGGAAAGATCGCGACTACCGGCCGGCGGCAGACGCCGAACGGAGTACGTAAGTAAGGCATCGGGCTGGACCAAAATGGAAGAAGGCGGGATGAACGGATTTGCCAGCTCCAAGTCTGCCGGTCGGAGCGGAAGTGGGTTACGACACCCGGCCCGGGCCTGAATTCGAGGCGCGGCCAAGCGAAAGGGTTTGTGGAGGGCGCGGTAAAGGTTATTCGACTTGATGATCGTTCCGTGGAGTGGAAGGGGGATGGAAGTTCAAGTTGGCCCGTTGGGGTTCGGGGAAATGAGGGAGAAGATTGAAGGGAGGCGCTGCCTGTCACTGCCAATGTCGGCGCCTATGTCAGAGAAGATTTTGGACTGGAGGAGACGGGCACGGTGAGAGCGTCCATACTGCCAGGAGCAGTGGAGAGCTGTGAATCGGATCGACTCGGGGGACGAGAATAAGTATTTTTGGGGCGGCGTTGAAGATCTACACTGCAGAGTAACTGTTGACTTGTGAAATGGTCAGAAATAATTATACTTAGATTTCGATCCGATGGAAGCACTTGTCGCGGGATCCACGAACTATGGAAATAGAAAATTCAGTGAGCTTGGATTCTGGAAGCTTGAGCAAAGGCGGCCGGAAGAAGATGGGCAAAAGATGGTCGAGGATGACGCGATTCTGCTATACTCGTGGATCGTGATTTGGACTTCCGTCGTGATTTCACTCGAGTCTCCAGCATCGAGCTGGGCAGTGGGAACTGAGATTATTGCCGCGCCGCGTCGAATGGTGGACGCGCGTTCATCGACGTCTTTATTTTAGTTTTGAAATCGAACTTGAACCCGAACTCGGGTCCCGGACGGTGGGTACTTAGTGGATGGGGGGACGGCGAATCTGGAGCAGGGGGTTAAGTATTAGCAAGAAGTGCCTATGTGCCACTTCGAAATTGGAGCTATTTCGAAACGCGTGCTTGCGTTCTGATTACATAGGATATTCGTTTCGGAGTCTTTGCGTCTGATGTGTGGATCCAGAGGCAGATTCTGTACAAGAAGATTTTCGAAGCTGCGGGCGAAGACAGGAATGAAAGGAAGACACAATACTCGAGTACATCAACTGCGGGTCCAGCTGCAAGAAATCTACGTAGAACACGGGTGTCTGGTTTTGCACGGCGCTTATTTATGGGAAGGAAAAGCCTATATGTAAGTGTAAGAATATTGACCGCTTGCGCTCGCTTCCGAACCTGATATTAGACATCGGCTGTGAGCGAGATGAATGAACGCGAGGAGAGGGCGGGGGGATCCGACCGAGAAGCCGATTTGTGAAGAAGGCGAGGGTCGAATTGAGGTGTCGAGAAGGGGGAACTGCGAGCTGCACGGAGCGCCGCAGGTGCGATCGGGTGCTCGAATTGGATTAAGTATTTGTGAGGTTAGGAAATTCAGGGTGGCTACTTATTGTGTTGTAGTGCATTGGCAGACGCGATTAGATAGATAGATCTTGCCCAACCCCCACCATCCGAGAGCGGTTTAATTTTCACAGTTTTCCTCTGAGCATAATTCAAATATTCGAATCTCCCGAAATATGAAATTCATTCGGTGTCGCAAGTATCTACATACTCGAGCTCACTCTGGCATATTCCTCTCCGCTGAGTTTCCTTCTTCCTAAAATATGGATATCGTCGAACTCGGGTCTCATTGCCTGTACGCGGATTAACGGACAGCTCGAGAAGGCGGGGGGACACGACAATAACTTGAATCTACTTTCCTCCGCCTTGCACTCGCTTCCGAACCCGAGTGTTCATTATCAGCTATCAGGGAGAGTAATGTCAGTGAACGCAGGGAGGGGGAAATCCAACCAAGCAGGCGAACTTCGAAGAAGGTGAGGTTCGAGTCGAGGCGTTGAGAAGAAGAGGGCACTGCGAACTGCGAATTGTGCGAGCTGCGCGGAGTGTGGAGTGCGGATCGTTGCATGTCAAATTAGGTATGTACGAGGACATGTTGGGACATTCAGGGTTATCGTGCCGTAATGATGCATCGCGTACATAGCAGTGAGCACGACGCGATCCAGCACCGTACCCCACTCTACACGTCAGATCTTCAGATATCGTGCACGACTGCCGTCAGCGGGCCCGTTCATCGGCCAGGCTGGATCTCGTCGGGCAGCTGGTGTCTCTTTACTTCTCTATTGAATATCCTATAGCCATTGCGAGTCTTCACAGTCGATGGGCGCCATAGAGTGTACATATGTCCAAAGGCTCCTTCCTCCGAGTCGTTCCTCAACGATCCATGTTTTCCCGTTCATAGACCCTCCCGCCTTTCCCCGTCCGCCCGTCCGTCCACTCGCACTCCTCCCAAGAATTATTGCGGCGGCCTCGACGGGCTCTTTAACTTCACGATCGCTCTTTTATCTCTCCTTCCAGCTCCTTCCTCTTCCAGCTCCTTCCAGTCTTCCCGGCTCCCGATTTCCCCTTTCCCGCCCTTTCGTCACCGCATTCATCACCGGCGAATTTCCCATCCTATCCAACCTATTCGTCCTTCCTTATAAATCCAAAAAGAAGCACAGAATCCATAATCACCGTTTCTCATATATAACGTTTTGATCCCACCACCCAGGAGCACTCACACTCTGCAGGGTCTGTGATTTTCAGAGATTGGGAATCGGGATTGCATCCCAGCCCGGGGCTGGGCAGACCTATGCACGGGAAAGGCTACGGGAAGGAGACCGGAACGGGCTTGGTATGTGGAGGATAACCTTCTTGCTATGGTACAATCGGGAGTGTGTCCGGGCTTGGCTTCGGGAGGAGCGACGGAATGGGCTTGGAGATCGGGACGTCGTGGAGGTGAGAGATTGGCGAGGGAGAGGAGAGAGAGAACGTGGTGAGCGGTGCTTGGAGCGGAGGCAGGCGGGCGGAGGCTAAAGCGAAGGCGAAAACGAAAACGATGTTACGCGTACGAGGAGTAGAGGCGTGGCGGTCGCGTGCCATGATTTCGATATCGGACTGGGAGATGGAGGAAGGGGAAACGAGGGTACGGAGAGTCCGGGAAAACAAGGTTGGGGACAGGACGGGGAAACAGAGGGGAAACGGACATGAACGAGGGGCGGGCACGCGATGGGGTGAAGATATTTAGCGTATACGTATACGTACACAATACAAGCACTGGAGAAGAGGGGACGGAGGAAGAGTAAAGCGAAGGTCCGGAGATGGGGTGGCGGTGGAGGAAGCTTTTACCTCAGCGCTCAGGGGGACAGCACGGGCCCAAAGTACAAAGGTAGGCTAAGAAAAGAATAAAGAATCGAAGCGCTCGGGCACTGCCAGTGCAGTGGTGGTCCGGTGGTGGGGGCAGGATCCTTTGGGGTGCGAGCTTACTTGGGCTTGTGCTTGAGACGCCGGCGTAGGCGTTCCAAGTCCAATTGATTTGCTTTGGAGTCTGGCAGTCGGGACGGAAGCTGTACAGTAGAGTGCACATAGGAACCTGGAACGGGGGTTCTCAGATGTCGCACTATCTACTTATACGAAACCCCAGTATGAACGGGAAGTTGAATCCCAACGTCTGGGAGTTGGGCGATGAGGCCCGAGGGGAGAGGGGAGAGGAGGACAAGAGCCGCAATTAATACCTTGAGGCGCGGAGGGTGCCTAGTAGCGCGCGCTAATAAAGGACTCGGAGTACGAGACTAGGATCACTCGGGTGATTGACAGGGCTCGAGATTGAGATTGGTTTGGGTTAGGATAAGGTAGCTCTAGAGGTGCGCTGTAACCGTTCGGCGGACGGGTCAAAAACGAAGCACACTAGAGTACAATATAGAACAATAATTTAAAGTACGAAGGCTTGACGAGGCCCGGAGCATCTCAGTCAAAACGCGGCGTCTACGTTGCGTAGATCGGATGACGGAGCTGGGCGAGCACGGGACGCCGACGCTGGCAGCTCGAGTTGGGGACGAGACGGGATCCGGTGGTTGGGGTACGGAGGATGGTAATTGGAATAGGAACGAGAGGACGGGGGACGGAAATTAGGAGTTGGGCGATGAAGGGACGGGGTTTGTGGTACTTACGGAGGGTTGGGCGATGAGGGGAGGACAGGACGAGAGTCATCCCTCGAGGCGCGGAGGGGTGCGTTTCGCGTTTCGCGCTATTAGGGACTCGAGTACTCCTATGGCTAGTAGTAGTACGGTCGGGAGATTACACCTGAGATAGAGTTTGGGTTAGCGAAGATTTGGGTTCTAATAATGGTGCGCTAAATATGCAAGACTAAGGCGTACTGTAGTACTAAGTGTTAACGAGGCCCGTCGCACCTCAGTCCCGCCGCCGCTCGTCGGCGTTGGGCTCATAATAAGCTTAAGATGGGAGGGTTGTCGAAGTCGCTGATGCGGGACCCGATTGAGAACTTGGAAGACGTTTCGACAGATATTGGACCGTTGGACGTGGAGACGAATGATCTAGTATGATTTGACATGGTATAGTATGATGTGATGGATTGTCAGGAGAGATGTGCAGGTACTTATGGTTTACCCGTACAGTGCTTGCTATGTAGTGCAGCGCGGGATGGTGTGATACTAGTAGTACTGCGCTGGAAAGAGAAGAAGGGATGTGGAGTTGGAGTGAAGTGGGGACGGAGGGAGCACGAGCGGACTCGGACTTGGACTGTGCGCACAGCACAGCATCGACTCCCAAGGCGCAGTGCCGGAACACTAGACAGCGGGTGCCTTGCCAGTGCGCTCGAGCGGGAGTCGGGGAACCCAAGGCTAACGATGCTGTAATGTTGGATAAGGTTATAGCATTGGCAGGCAGGCCTCGCCTCGTCTGAGGTCACAGGTGGGCCGCACCGCCGGCGACGAGACGAGAAGATAACAAGAGGAGCAGAAGAAGGCGTCGTCGAGGACGAACGCATCATCAGATTCAAAGGCACGCCCGGCCCACTGCCCAGCAGAGAGTCGGCGGGGAGCGAGGCAGAGCGTATCTACGGCGATAACGACCCCCGCTCGATGGGGATGCGCGCGAAGCTCTCCTCCAGATTCGATCAGCAAGCAGTTCCCTTTCGGAGTAGCCACAACACCAATTATCTGCTCCAAAAAATAAACCCTGAAAAAACGTATGCGTGGGAAGATCATTCGTGAGCAGATCGTGATCGTGATTACTTAGTCCGATTCGCACCTTCCTATCCCGGTTTGCGTTCCTGACACCTGATCTCTGCTAACCCATCCCAGGAATTTACGCTTTGAATTACATAATAATGCAGCTGCCTTCCCTTGGAGAGGCGATGAAAAGGCCGGGGCCCGTACGCCTTACCCACCCTTCCCTTCCCCTCCATCCCCCAACAACACAAGTGCGAAGTGGGCTTTACCGCTCCCTCCCCCTCTTTCTTCTTCCCCTCCCCCGCCGCCCCGCCTATGCAAGCGGTCCTTTGATAGCTAACCACCCCTCTCTCCTCACCTTACCCGCCTAGCCCCCGCCGTCACCAAGGATAACGCCTGGAGTGAGTCGTCTGCCCGCCTTCCTTATCGTGGGTGGAGGAGCTGGCGCTGATGATTTTTGGCGTTGGATGTAGTTCTCGCGACCCTTGCCGGCTTCTACCCACCCGCCCCCTCCACCCCAAGCATTATCAAAGGACCTGAGAAGACACACGCTTGAGCCCTGCTCGCGTACCCAGCAAAGCAAAGCAAAGCCACCCCCGTCCCCCATCCCCCTCCACCCCTTCCCGTT